ATAATACACATCTACTTGAATCCATCTTGATAGGCCCAAATCATGAATGGTCATGAATCTGACACTTCATCTGCTACAATCTAATAGAAGTGAAGAAGAGCTAGAATGATAATATGCAAATGATATAATATAATGACACATCTGCTCTACTAGAATGATAATTGAATCCATCTTGATAGGCCCAAATCATGAATGGTCATGAATCTGACACTTCATCTGCTACAATCTAATAGAAGTGAAGAAGAGCTAGAATGATAATAGCAAATGATATAATATAACACATCTACTTGAATCCATCTTGATAGGCCCAAATCATGAATGGTCATGAATCTGACACTTCATCTGCTACAATCTAATAGAAGTGAAGAAGAGCTAGAATGATAATAGCAAATGATATAATATAATACACATCTACTTGAATCCATCTTGATAGGCCCAAATCATGAATGGTCATGAATCTTGACACTTCATCTGCTACAATCTAATAGAAGTGAAGAAGAGCTAGAATGATAATAGCAAATGATATAATATAATACACATCTACTTGAATCCATCTTGATAGGCCCAAATCATGAATGGTCATGAATCTGACACTTCATCTGCTACAATCTAATAGAAGTGAAGAAGAGCTAGAATGATAATAGCAAATGATATAATATAATACACATCTACTTGAATCCATCTTGATAGGCCCAAATCATGAATGGTCATGAATCTGACACTTCATCTGCTACAATCTAATAGAAGTGAAGAAGAGCTAGAATGATAATAGCAAATGATATAATATAATACACATCTACTTGAATCCATCTTGATAGGCCCAAATCATGAATGGTCATGAATCTGACACTTCATCTGCTACAATCTAATAGAAGTGAAGAAGAGCTAGAATGATAATAGCAAATGATATAATATAATACACATCTACTTGAATCCATCTTGATAGGCCCAAATCATGAATGGTCATGAATCTGACATTTCATCTGCTTCTAATAGAAGAGAAGAAGAGCTAGAATGATAATAGCAAATGATATAATATAATACACATCTACAATCTTGATAGGCCCAAATCATGAAGTCATGAATCTGGACTTTCATCTGAAGAAGAGCTAGAATGATAATAGCAAATGATATAATATAATACACATCTACTTGAATCCATCTTGATAGGCCCAAATGACATTTCATGAATGGTCAAATGATATAATATAATACAATCTACTGAACACTTGATCAAATCATGAATGGCTACAATCTAATAGAAGTGAAGAAGAGCTAGAATGATAATAGCAAATGATATAATATAATACACATCTACTTGAATCCATCTTGATAGGCCCAAATCATGAATGGTCATGAATCTGACACTTCATCTGCTACAATCTAATAGAAGTGAAGAAGAGCTAGAATGATAATAGCAAATGATATAATATAATACACATCTACTTGAATCCATCTTGATAGGCCCAAATCATGAATGGTCATAAAACTGACACTTCATCTGCTACAATCTAATAGAAGTGAAGAAGAGCTAGAATGATAATAGCAAATGATATAATATAATACACATCTACTTGAATCCATCTTGATAGGCCCAAATCATGAATGGTCATGAATCTGACACTTCATCTGCTACAATCTAATAGAAGTGAAGAAGAGCTAGAATGATAATAGCAAATGATATAATATAATACACATCTACTTGAATCCATCTTGATAGGCCCAAATCATGAATGGTCATAAATCTGACACTTCATCTGCTGAACAATCTAATAGAAGAAGAGCTAGAATGATAATAGCAAATGATATAATATAATACACATCTACTTGAATCCATCTTGATAGGCCCAAATCATGAATGGTCATGAATCTGAATCATCTGCTACAATCTAATAGAAGGAAGAAATAGCAAATGATATAATATAATATACATCTACTTGAATCCATCTTGATAGGCCCAAATAATGAATGGTCATGAATCTGACACTTCATCTGCTACAATCTAATAGAAGTGAAGAAGAGCTAGAATGATAATAGCAAATGATATAATATAATACACATCTACTTGAATCCATCTTGATAGGCCCAAATCATGAATGGTCATGAATCTGACACTTCATCTGCTACAATCTAATAGAAGATAAAGAAGAAGCAAGCTAGAATGATAATAGGCCCAAATAAATGAATGGCAAATGATATAATATAATATACATCTACTTGAATCCATCTTGATAGGCCCAAATCATGAATGGTCATGAATCTGACACTTCATCTGCTACAATCTAATAGAAGTGAAGAAGAGCTAGAATGATAAAGCAAATGATATAATATAATACACATCTACTTGAATCCATCTTGATAGGCCCAAATCATGAATGGTCATGAATCTGACACTTCATCTGCTACAAATGAAGAAGAGCTAGAATGATAAAGCAAATGATATAATATAATACACATCTACTTGAATCCATCTTGATAGGCCCAAATCATGAATGGTCATGAATCTGACACTTCATCTGCTACAATCTAATAGAAGTGAAGAAGAGCTAGAATGATAATAGCAAATGATATAATATAATACACATCTACTTGAATCCATCTTGATAGGCCCAAATCATGAATGGTCATGAATCTGACTTCACTTCATCTGCTACAATCTAATCCATCTTGAAGGCCCAAATCATGAAGAAGAGCTAGAATGATAATAGCAAATGATATAATATAATACACATCTACTTGAATCCATCTTGATAGGCCCAAATCATGAATGGTCATGAATCTGACACTTCATCTGCTAACAATCTAATATCTTGAAGGCCCAAATCATGAAAGAAGACACTTCAGCTATCTAATGATAATAGCAAATGATATAATATAATGAATCCACAGGCCCAAATCTGAACATGAATTGAATCCAATCTTGATGAAGAAGGCCCAAATCAAATGAATGGTCATGAATCTGACAAATCATGAATGGTCATGAATCTGACACTTCACAATCTAATAGAAGTGAAGAAGAGCTAGAATGATAATAGCAAATGATATAATATAATACACATCTACTTGAATCCATCTTGATAGGCCCAAATCATGAATGGTCATGAATCTGACACTTCATCTGCTACAATCTAATAGAAGTGAAGAAGAGCTAGAATGATAATAGCAAATGATATAATATAATACACATCTACTTGAATCCATCTTGATAGGCCCAAATCATGAATGGTCATGAATCTGACACTTCATCTGAATGGTCTACAATCTAATAGAAGTGAAGAAGAGCTAGAATGAGAATAGCAAATGATATAATATAATACACATCTGCATCTACTTGAATCCATCTTGATAGGCCCAAATCATGAATGGTCATGAATCTGACACTTCATCTGCTACAATCTAATAGAAGTGAAGAAGAGCTAGAATGATAATAGCAAATGATATAATATAATACACATCTACTTGAATCCATCTTGATAGGCCCAAATCATGAATGGTCATAAATCTGACACTTCATCTGCTACAATCTAATAGAAGTGAAGAAGAGCTAGAATGATAATAGCAAATGATATAATATAATATACATCTACTTGAATCCATCTTGATAGGCCCAAATCATGAATGGTCATGAATCTGACACTTCATCTGCTACAATCTAATAGAAGTGAAGAAGAGCTAGAATGAGAATAGCAAATGATATAATATAATACACATCTACTGGAATCCATCTTGATAGGCCCAAATCATGAATGGTCATGAATCTGACACTTCATCTGCTACAATCTAATAGAAGTGAAGAAGAGCTAGAATGATAATAGCAAATGATAGGCCCTTGAAATCTTGATAATATAATACACATCTACTGGAATCCATCTTGATAGGCCCAAATCATGAATGGTCATGAATCTGACACTTCATCTGCTACAATCTAATAGAAGTGAAGAAGAGCTAGAATGATAATAGCAAATGATATAATATAATACACATCTACTTGAATCCATCTTGATAGGCCCAAATCATGAATGGTCATAAATCTGACACTTAATCTGCTACAACCTAATACCAGATAATTCTAGTCAGTTTCGTCTAGCTTTTAATAAAGTTCACGAACCCGTTTTCTCCATCCTTCAAACTTCAACCAGCAGAATAGCATAAGACAAACAATCTAAGAATACGTCTCCCCTGTTCTCTCAGAATTTGTCCAGTACTTTTCATTAATCCTCTAAAATATTAAACATTTCAAATATTCCCATTGCCTTTTACACAGATGAAAGTATCTCATTACTGGTTTCTTTTCCGTGCCTCATTATAACAATTTTGTGACTTCTCTTGTCCTCTCACCCAGAATCCTTGATAGAAAATATGAATAGAACCAATGCCCCATCTATGGAATCGAGATTTCCTCACAGGTCACCGCATGTGTTCATATATGGATATTTTCTTTTCCAGTCGAAGCTTGCCACCTCAAAAAGGAATTTGGGAACTGACCCTCCTATACTTCGAGGCACCAAATAAAATAATAGATTCCACGGGCTTAATATAATGGTTCGAACAGACACAAAACTGAGACACGATACGGAACAGTGGAACCCGCTCATATCAGACTATTTACATAGGGGTGTATTACATATGACACATTTGACGATGACGAATCGAAATAAATTTGAAATAGTCACCAAATTATAAATGTGCATTTAGCATGGCGTTTTCCATAGATTAAATATTTGATCATCTTGGAGTCATTTCCATACTGAATTATTATAGTTTCGTCTGTCAACAAGTCTATTCCGTCACATATACATAACCTGGTAGAAAATAGGAAAGATTGATATGTGAATGACTCAAATAGGACCACTATCTTATCTGTAGTTGCGAAAATTCCACTAATAATCAGATAATAACTATAAATTTACAATAGTTTCAAATGCTTGAAAACATATGTACTGTGCTGTGCGTTTCTATGTTTCTGAATATATCCATATATTTATTATCTTTTTCTCCAGTCGAAGCTTGTCACCTCGAAAAGGAAGTTGGTCCTTGCCGTGCTCAGCTCCCTGTCTGGTATTACGATGCAGTTGAACACCAATGCAAAGAATTCAAATATGGCGGTTGCCAAGGGAATGCTAACAGATTTGGCACCAAAGAACAATGTCATCTTACGTGCCACCCTGAAGGTACATATCTCTTATGAATTAATAATGTCATGAAATTACGTATGTGTATCTTTTATACAAAGATGTCTCTCTCTTTCTTAGATGTCCATCTTTTCTACAGTTATTTATTTAGCTTGTTGTTGTCGTGTTGTTAAGAACAATATATACACGAATTACAAGTTTTGAAAGTATGTAAGAATTTACAATTTTTTTATGTATCTTTCTCTCTCTCTCTCTCTCTATCACACACACACGCGCATACATACATACATATATATGTATTAATAAATATACATATACCTACATTAGAAGTGCAACACTTAAAGTTTCGTTGTTCTACCAACTCTTCTGGCACGGATTATTACTTTTGATTTTTTAAAAAAAAAGTAACACTAAATTACATTCACGGATCATTTTTAATATAAACTTAATATAATATAGGATGTAAATACAGAATGTAGAGTGTAGGTAGGCAAGTTTAAAGTTTCAAAGAGGAACGCTGAGTAATTCGTTAAGTAAGTAATTGGCCTTAAAATGGTTAAAGCCAGGAAATCAATATGTAACCAAAAATATGGGAAGTGATTGTGAATTGAAATATTTAAAGAGAGATTTCTTTCTATGATTACAAGCTAACATTAGTTCATTATGTTTATTAAGTAGATTTCACTCATTAATATTTTTGAGGATGAATCTTTCTTCCAATAAACGCATGATGCATCGTTTGCTGCGGCTACAAAAGTGTGTAGTTTTGGCGACCAAATTCCAATTTGTTTATTTTATTTTTTGTAACCCCCCCTACCTACACCCTACATTCTGTATTTACACCCCAATATTAAGTTGATATTAAATCTGTGTTTAATTTAGCATTCCTCCCATAAGACCCAGTATGTATATATATATATATATATATATATATGTGTGTGTATATATATATATATATATATATATAAATTAAAAGTAATAATTCGTGCCTGATGAGTTGGTAGAACAACGAAACTTTAAGTTGCACTTTGAATGTAGGTATATGTATATTTATTAATATACACTTCTTAGCTCTGTCTAACCACATTAAGCACTGTTTGTTTATACCTTATATTAAATTGAGTAAATATTTATTCGCTTACCCGTGTATGCACACTAACGCACGTATATACGGTTGCTAACATTTAGTTGTTTGATTTAAGGAAAAATCTGGAGACCCATGAATCTCAGATGTACCTCGTTAGACATTTTCACAGCTTTATTGCTTGCTGGGAAGCGAATGCGGGTGTTATGTTTACGTCATCGTTTAATTTTGGGTGAGTGTGTGTAATGTATGTGTGTGCATATATTTGTGCTTGAGTGTGTGGAGGTAGACCTTATCACTTCTGTGTAGTGGGGTTGATTGTTGGGGCTAGGGGAGTCAGCTTGGCCTATTCATGGGTTGTGTCATCTATATATTAACAGTAGGTTATATTCAACTATACAGAGATTATAATGTGTGAGAGAGAAATATGGCGGGGGTGATCTATGGGGGTTATACCTATGTTAATTCTATCTGTGCTGTTTAATTTGTTGTTGAATCCATGTTCTAATATTTTTCTAACGTTATCTTTTGGCTCCATTTCTATTCTTTCAATAACAGTGAATTTTGAATGGCTATTAACACTAGAACACTAAACATCAATTAAAGTTACACCACTACTAACCATGGGTATATCATACCCGATTTTGAAAATATTAAAAAATATTAAATATAAATCTTTATTTGAAATATTTTACATGCAGGCACTTCAAACTTTGTACTCTGAGTTAACATTAATAGAAACTGAAAAACATATTATTTAGGTAAGAAAATCAGGTACTGAAAATTGTAATTAAAAATAGGAAAATTTGCGCTGGGTACTATATACCCATGGTTAGAATTCTAGGGTTAAAATCATTTTTTCTAGCCAGAAATGTCGTTCTTTCGTGGGGAGCCGATTCCGATAATTATTAATTCTGTAGTGAAAAGGCCATTCAGATTTCCCATATATTGTTTCTGGCAAAAGTAAATTATGTTATGACTTCTACAGTTAGAGGTGTGGTAGATTTTGAAAATAATTTTAGTGACTGAGCTAGTGAATGAATTGGTGCGTTTAATGTAGACACAATATAAGCTCCTTTTGCTGTTACATGGTGGAGAAAATTCTATTATTTTTATTCTTGGTTTATTACGTGTTGCTTTGTCGTCTGAAAATTGCTTACCGCCTATGATTTCCTTAAGGTTCTTTGGTTTACGATATGCTAAAAGGCCGGGTTCCTCAAACAAAGTTTTTTAGATGTGCTTTGAGATGTATTTCTCAGCGACATTTGATTACTTAAGATAGTGTAAGTAGAATAGTATCGAAAGTGGTTACTAGAGAGATACGTTTGGATATATGTTTAATTTTATACTTTAGGGTGTATTCTCTCGGTGTGAAAATTGCTTTATTTGTTCCCCGATTAAGTGTCGTTTATAGCCACGTGTTGCGAATTGTTGCTCGAGATTTTTAGTGTGTTTAGTTAGTTCTTCATTGTTGGAACATATTCTTCTAAGTCTAAGTGATTGTGAATAGGAGACGTTCTCTTTGAGGTGTGTGGGTGTGCAAGAAGACTTAGAGTGTAGATAGTTGTCTGTCGGTGATATTAGTGTGTAGTCGTTTGTAGTTTTCTGTTTTTATCGATGTAGATGCAGATGCCTAGAAATGTTACTGATCTTGTTGTTTTTTCGTGGTCGAACTTAATGGAATCGTTTACTGTGTTTAGGCCAATAAGGAATTCAGTAATATATACCTAAGATACAAATTGATATATCTTGTATAGAACATGCAGTCCTTACCGATGAAAGGATATGTGGTTCCTCAAATTTTCCCATGAAAATTGTGACATAGGATGGATCTGCAACGGTGCCCATGGCACATCCTTTTATTGCAGGCAGTGTTTTCCTTTGAAATCGAAACTATTCAATGTGAGAATGTGTTCCATAAGTTTTATGTTTACTTCTTTGGGCGAGGTGGGGGGGGTTCTTATTTTGTTGTTTTAGTAAGGTGCTTCTTTAAGGGCAGTTAGTCCTTCGTTGTGTTTGATGTCGGAATAAAAAAAGATTTAACGCCCACGGTTACCAGAGTTGAATTTTCTGATACTGTTTGTATATGTTTAATTCTGTTTAATAGGTCCGATCTAGGATTTTATTTTCTTAGTATATATTTGGATGCTTCAGTTAATTCCACATGTATAATACGCATTCATCCATAATACACACACCTAATATTATGCTGAAAGTGTGGGAAAATGCTTCTACTCACGCATAATACGCACGCCTTGTTTGGTAATGAAACCTTATAAATTGTACCTCTCCAATTTCATTACGGCCAGCGTTTCCTACTCTTATAAAAAAAAAATGGTTTTAAACATAGAATAATATTATTCTAATTTAGTTTTATGACAATTCATATTTTATTTTACGGCAAATTTTTAAAGATTTTTTGTAACTGTACATAATACGCACCCCTGATTTTGCTTATTTTTTATATAAAAATGCGTATTATACATGGGGAATAACGATATGTGGCAGTTAAATGACGGAATGATCGGGCTTCCTGGGTTGTTATTTTTGTGTATTTTGGGAAGGAGATAGAAGCGGGTAAATGTAATGCTTGTGGATGTAAGGATATTTACTTGACCCACCCCCCTCCACTCACTGAGTCAGGTTCTGACACAAGGTCAGTTTGTAACATGGGGACCCGAGTGTTTTCACTCGGGCCGCTGTTCTAAGATGGTTATAGCTTGTCAAAGCTGGTCAGATCTAGTCTAAGCTAATCGTAGCTAGTCTTGGCTTGTCATAGCTTGTCCAAGCTGGTCAGATCTAGTCTAAGCTAATCATAGCTGTTCTTGGCTTGTCATAGCTTGTCCAAGCTGGTCAGAGCTGGCCTAAGCTAGTCATAGCTGGTCTTGGCTTGTCATAGCTGGTCCAGGCTGGTCAGAACCGGTCCAAGCTAGTCGTAGCCGTGATACTACCAGCACAGGACTCCGTCCCTGTGTTGGTAGTAAGTATAATGTTTGTGGATGTAAGTGCTGTTTATGCTTACTTGTCAATTAGTTTAATTTAAAGCATCGTGTTTAGCGAGCTTGTTAGGTGTTTTTTATTTATTTATTTTTTTTTTGTTTTTTGGGTTTTTTTTGGTATTCGGGGAATAAGTCTATGTGTAGACTTTTGTAGGTGTTTTATCAACTAGTTGATTGTTGGCCTCTTATATCTTAATTACAGACATTACTTGGAATATTATACTTTCGTTCGCTAGGTATCTGTTATCTACCAAAGGAAAGTGGGCAGTGCTATGCTTACAGTGATCAGTATTATTTTAATCCAAGAACCAAACGTTGCGAGCAATTTGTGTACGGTGGATGTGGAGGAAATGCCAACCGATTCTCTTCAGTTGCCAAATGCATGGAAGTTTGCCAATCATACATTGAAAAAGAGACCCTACCAACGCCACCTGTAACAGACAAACCTCTGTCCCATCCAGGTAAGTAAACAGACATTAGTACGAATGTGTTCATTTAACTAGTAAACCTTTTTGAAAAGTGTACCTTAACCTTCATTGACATCTGACAACAGCTGAGAATATCCGAGTAAGATTTTTGCGATGACTTTTCCTTATATAAGAACTAGCTGTCATCAGTATTAATCGCTTCTGCGAATAATATTAATTAACGAATACGATGTAAAATAATCCCCTCCTCCCCCCCCCAAAAAAAACAAAACCGCATAGTATATTCTCTCGTGTATTATAGGTGAAGTTGTTTTGTATTCTAATCTTAACCCTGATGCTGAAGATAAACAAAATTTCGTCGGTGTTACTAAAAGAGCATAAGTGAATATTTTGAAAAAAAAATGAAATTTGAAATGGTCCTAATTGAACATACACACATATATATATATATATATATATATATATATATATATATATATATATATATATATATATATATATATATATAAAATATATTTTTTAAATTGCTTTATAGACTTCACTAGCAACATGGCCCGGCATTGCTCGTGCTTCAAAAAATCGTACGACTCATACAGCAATCGCTATCACTTGACTTACTTAAAATATTTTTGACCTTCCTTGCCCTTAAAGGAGTGCCCTTTGCCGCGCTGATGTTGCTACATGCCTTACTTCTTGCCTATCTCACACTGCGAATTTTTTCTAAGCTCTATACTAAACATTAAATCTGTTACGAAAAAAGAACTAAACAAAATGAACACAAAACCATCAGCTTTAAAAAAGGACGCGTAACTGGAAAAACCGAATGAAAAAACAATGTAAACAACAAATAATTTTTCACACCCAACCCAGTTTCCTGAAATATTGAGACTGGTCATACAACTTGGGCGTGGTTGTTGTTTCCCTTGTTTTGTTAACCCGGTACTTTGGAAACCATACATAGATCCGATTTTAAGTTCAAATAAAAAGAACTCAAAAGTGTTTAACAACGCGAAGTCCAGAATGAGGTGAAAAGCTTCGATGTCTACGGGTCGCGTAGTGCAGGCGAAACATTCAACTTAAAACCCTCAAAATCCATATCACCTTTGAGTTAATCGGATTTTTTACAAAGTTTGAGTCCAAATTTTCTTGCATGGAAAGGAAAAATGGAATAGAGTTTGCGTATCACTGGCTGAGGACTTCAGTGTAGACTCGATTTTTAGCTCTTTGCGAGAGTGAATAAAGGAACACATCCTCGCGCCAGCCGACTCGAGAGCAGGCTACGTAAAGTTGGCCGTATGAGAAGCACTGCTCTTCTAAGTGTACACCAGTGACAGACAGCGTTTATCCTTGGGCCTTATTAATTGTCATAGCAAAACAGGGTGCGACTGGGAATTGGGATCTTCTGAAAGTGAAAGGTACGTCGGCATCTGATGGATACAAATGCATCCTTGGGATAAGCACTAGCTCCCCTTTACCGCAGCCAGTTATAATTTTGGCCTCAATAATATTTGGGTGTAGGGCCTGAATAACTATCCTGGTCCCATTACAGACTTTCGGTGGACGCAGGTTTCTAAGCAACATAACCGGGACCCCAACTTTAAGTTCCAGAATGTGAGGAGGGAGACCAGCGGGGTGGAGACTGTTTAAGAACTCCACTGGAAAGTTCGCCATTTCAGTGTGAATTTCAAATGGATTTGTATACGTGCAAGACCCCTGGCACAGTTTTCAGAAACTATCTATTAAGGGTGGTCAAAGTGGTGTTTTTTGTGGCAAGAATTTCCCGCCCGGCAAGCCACTCAATATTGTTGTAGTTGGTTTGAAGATCAGGAAAAACTGATTCCCTGAGTGTTGCTGGCGTTGTGACCACTGTAGACAACCCTTGGACGTTTACAAATCCATTAGTGTCCGCTGGAATAATACCTTCGTCAAGGGCTAATAATGAATTCGAAAATTCGGCGGACCCAAAATCGCCAGTGTGCACGCATGTTGGTGGTAATGTGCAATGGCTTAACAGTGGGCCAAAGTTGTGACGATTTCAAGCACGTTCGAATAGCATCGGCCCTTGTCCCCTTAGGTACAACGGGGAGAATCTGGCGAAAGTCACCGGATAGAAGGACAGTTATACCTCCCATAAGGTCATCGGAGTTTCGAATATCCTTCAGAGAGCGGTTTACAGCCTCGAGTGCAGTTTTGGGACTGACAGTGCACTCATCCCAGCTTACATTACCTGTGTACCTCCGCTAGACCTGATTGCTTGCCTATACTGCATACAGTTGTTTCTGACTTAATCAGGTCAAGCGGGAGTTTAAACGTTGAGTGCACTGTTCGGCCACCCGGTAGTAATGTGGCAGCAATGCCTGAAGACGCTACTGCTAGCGCCACTTCGCCATGGCGCCGAATTTCTGCAAGAAGCAGTTTTGTTACGAACGTTTTTCCCGTTCCCCAGGCGCATCCAGGAAGAAAATTGATCCTGCATCCTGCCTGGTGGATGCAAGAACAGCATCGTAAGCGGCCATTTGGTCTACGAGAAGTTTTGGCTCATTTGTTGTGACATAGGCGTTGATCTCTTCAACAGAGTAGGATGTCTCCCGTCCAATCTCAGGTGAGAGACTGGAAGAAGCCACACGATCTGGCGTTGGAAGCCCAATAGCCGCGAGAGATCCCCCCCATTTCAACAAACAGGTTCTCAATGATTATAAGCGCCCTGTTGTAAATTTCATCGTTGAATGTAAGAGCCATTATTGGACACAGCAATTGTGCTTCTCTGAGTATGTCTTCGGACAAAAAGTCCTTGTATTTGTCCCAAAGTGATTTGGGATCACAGGGTTCGCACATTTGTAAGATTGTGGTGAAGAGGTGGGGCAAAGCAGAGGGCAATTTTAAAAGAGCTCCCTCAGCCATTGTGGCATCCCACTGGCTGTCGTATTCCAAAAGGTCGCGATAGAAGCAGGCCTCACGAAAAGTGTCACATAAAACTCCATTAAACGTCCGTAAGTTATTGTAGCTCGTTGGACCACTAACTTCGTGCAAAAGGAGTCGCAAGTAAAAACATTCCTGTCGCGATGGGGGAACCGTGAATACCCTTCCGAGTGTGGCGTCTTTTTTGACGCCTGGATAGTCCCCGACGTTGGTCCCGCACTTCCGCCGAGCCCAGGTGTTTTTTTTTATCCACACGTAGTATGAAGGCACGTCTGGGTACAGTAGAGTCCTAGCAAACTCGTCCTGTCGACAAAGTTTGAAGAACGCTGTAAGAGTTGTGTCTTTGGTACGCGCAGCCACATCCATTGCTGTATCCGCAGAAAAATAACGAAGTTCATCGTTTTCTAGATGCACAGCAAGCTGGACGATTGCTGAGAAGCGTTCGTGGATGGGGAAGCTGAATATGTGCCAAGGGCCCTCTGTGCTGCTAATGACGCGCCCTTCAACGAAGTCCTGGATTTCGTCTAAGGAACCTTCCTGCCTAATACCAAACATTACATCATCAGTCCCTTTGTTGATGTACTTGCATACATACTTGATGGAGCGAACTGAATGGCAATATTCGACATTGATGTGCGCATTGAACGCTTTTGTTAGCAGGGGACAGTATGGGCACTACCCATCTTTTATCCACTTGGTGAGCCTTTACCACGGCTGTAAATCTTCCCTCAGTGGGTCTCCTTCGCTGGTACAGTGGATAACCATCGCTCCCTGTAATGGTTTCACTCACGAAATCTCGTGGGTACTGCCGGGTGCATTAACCGTCGCTGTTGTGACAGCTGGTGAAATTGTAATGCGTCGCGTAGGGACCATGAATCATGTTGGTTGTCACTATTTCGTACAATTCAGACTCAGCCAAAGGATCAAAAATATCAGCAGAAATAAGATGATCGATTTCTGTGGCCTCAATCTTGTCGCACAGCCAAATTAGTATATGTGCGTGAGGCAGGCCGCGTTTCTGCCACTCAATAGTGTGCATGCGGCAGCAAACAGCCCCAAAAACCTGGCCCTTTGTAATCACATCCATTAGCTTTCCCAACTTCAGATGGTAAATGCGCGCAATGAGGTCATTTTGGGTTACACATGAAACTTATGAATATGTCTGGTCGGCCGTACTTACGAACGTATGTCATCGCGTCTTGCGTCCTCGCGTGCATGTATCGTGGACTGCCTGTGAACATTGCAGGTAGTATGCACATCTTGCCTATATTGCGTGGATCAGCGTCATTTCGTAAAGCATCACGGAGGTGAATGTAAGAGTCGCAGCGCAACTTGATCTGATTCAATCTGATGTAACGGATCCTTTCGGATTCCAGCTTAGCAGCCATGTCTACTATGAATTGATGGAAAAATTACCGGCTTCGATTAAGATGATTGAATGCACCCTCATATACCATCAATAGGTAGGCGTAGAAAGCCCTGCAAGACACTGTTTTTAAGGTGGACCCATTTTGCAGAATGCCAAAGTGGTACCCATCTTCTTCGTAACGGAAGAGAAGTGGGTATTGCAGTGCATCGTATGACCGGTGCGTTTCACTGATTCTTCGGAGCCCATTGCTGCGCGATTCGATAACAACGTCACGTCTGTTGTGCTGATCACCGCTGACAATGACGGAAACTTCGTTACTTGCGGGAGCATTGTAACGACGTTCGTGCTCTCCCTGAGGCCGTTTGTCAGCATCAATTACAATAATGAAATCAGAAGAGGTGTTAATTTCGAGAGCATACTTAAAACTGCGGACATAGCTGTTTGTCTCGTGGAGCATTTGTTGTAGACTCATTATGATATCCCTGCGGGGGTGATTGTCCTGGCCTGTATCGTTCTCGGGAATAATGCCCATGCGGGCATCTGCCTGTTGATTGTAGTCAGCGATGAAGTATATTTGTAGAAAGGCCGAATCAGTGGCAGTTTCCGGCAAAAGAGACCAAATCCGGTGGTAAACATGACCTTGAACCTTGAAGGTGGAATTCCAACCGACTTCGCGGAAAGCATTACCACCAAAAGAGGTCATCTGGAAGGCACAATTGTACTGTCTGATTTTTGAGAGGAAATGTTTGGAGTCTGGACTGGAACCCTCCAACAGAGCTTTCAACGGAGCATGTAGCTCTTGAAAAGGTGGCAACTGAACAACACAATCCTGCAGACTCTCCAGGCCATTTTTTTGGCATTGCAATGCCCACAGATAACAGACATGGATCCTATTTGGAGGTCTTTGCGACCGGAAAGCCTCAAAACTGGCTCATAGTTGAACGCCAGCTTAAACCAAAACTTCTTTTGTGGGCTACAGAGCCCTCGCTGTGCATGGCGGCGCTGGTTAACAGTCTGCAACCTTGCAAGCCTTTCAGTAGGTCCTTCTACAGCTCTAGCAGCGGAAGTTGAAATTGCATCGCGATGCCATCTTGTGCGCTTTTGAGCGGAACTTTCCGACGTCCTTGCAACAGAAGTTGCAGCAGCGTCGGCTGCATGGCGTGCGGTTTTCTAAGCCATGGATTCCTGGGACCGTCGAATGGACGTTGCCGCAGCTTTCGCTTCGTTACGTGCGGCTTTCTCAGCCGTGGTCTCCTGGGACCGTCGAATGGAAGTTGCAGCGGCGTCGGCTGCATGGCGTGCGGTTTTCTAAGCCATGGATTCCTGGGACCGTCGAATGGACGTTGCCGCAGCTTTCGCTTCGTTACGTGCGGCTTTCTCAGCCGTGGTCTCCTGGGACCGTCGAATGGAGCGGCGTCGGTTGCATGGCGTGCGGGCGTCGGAACCATCGAATGGACGTTGCCGCAGCTTTAGCTTCGTTTGCGGATCCGTGGCTCCTGGGACCGTCGAATGGAGAGCGGCGTCCTGCAAAAGATCCGGGCTCTTGTGATGAAGCCTCTTTTTGTCGTCTTGCAAGCGTTTAGGTAGTTTCCTCTTACTTTGCAACGAATATGTGTAAACTGATTTGCAGTACAAACGGTAGTTACGCTCACCAAACGTTTCATGTGACAAAACATACTGCCTCCGTTGATATTGACTGGAAAGCCTTAAAGATGCCTCTACCTCGGTTTCCTCCTCCCACTTTCTCTTTGCCCTAGAGGCTCTTTTAGAACGCCTGCTAACAGTACTAGTAGTGTTTGGGCGTGATGAAAATTTGATGCAATCACGGATGAGGCAATATTTTTCAAGGCCAAACAGATTTCATCATACACCCCGAAAGTAGATTCATATTACTGCACGCCTCTGCAAATGACCTCACCTGGGGGAAAAAAAATAGCAATCGATTACTATCAGTCACACCAGTGAGTCTAAAATAACCACATAGTGAAAGAAGGGAAACTATAGCGTCTGTTTCAATGAATTTGCACAAGGGGGTATACACACACATCTACTGCAAAGCATCACGATAGCACTAAAGTATGAATGGACATTAAGCTGACACTGTGAGACAAAATATAACAGTAGAAAAATTAGAATGATTGATGACTTTATTTGTATTTATCCAATACAGTTTATTAATCTTCGTCCGTGGATGTACAGCGTAGTAATGGATAGTGGCTTGGATTGAGGAATCAAAGAGCCGAGTTCGAATTCAAGTCAGATCCATTGCATTCACTTAGGTGCTAATACCTTTTGAAAATGTATGAATCCATTTCTTCTTCCTCCAGCTATGGGTAAAATAGTATGAGAGTCTTGGTTAGCTCTGAATGAAAACTCTGAATTCAAATTACTTACTGACTTGTAGATCCTGCCTCTTTACTTGAAAGACTCAAAAACAAATCCACATCGCATGTCGACTCGAAGAAAGGAACTGCCTCTCTACTAATTCGAGTGTTTTCTATAGATGGAACATTTGGTTGTATTAGACTCACTTCCATACCGAATCATTATAGTTTTATGGTTCCTTTAACACATAGATAACCTACTAGAAAATATGAAAGATTGGTATGGGAAGGAATGGTCTGTATAGGACCAATATCTTATCTGTAGTAATGGTATTCGGAAAATTCAAATTATAATCTAATAATAACTATAAATTTACACTAATTTAAAAAGTTCCAAAACATATTGTATGTTTCTGGCTAGATCTACAGGATGTCTGAAAAATGTTGACACACTCTTACTATCAATTTGTTTTCCTTTCACATTTACATTTTAGTATTCCTAATGTCATCCAGGCTTGGCATTGAACAAAGAAATTTTATTCTGAAATGCTGCTGGAAGTATAAAAATGCAGTTCAAAGGTGGTATCGAAGAGAGTTTCATTCAGATCCACCTACACAGCTTACGAATGAGAGATCATTTTAAAGCTGATGGTACTGTACACGCTGTGCACAAGAATTGTTCCAGAATGCCGTGAATGAAAAATGAGTGATGGAGAATTTTTACAGGAGTTCAAGAAACCTATCAAAATTGTCAGTAGTTTCTGGATCATAATGGACATCTACGTGTAAACATACGATGACAAAATCTTAAGCGCATGCCTTTATAATAAATACAGTTTCCATATTTATTATTTAAATTAGATTTAGTAGTTCTAGTTGCTTGAATTATCTCTTGAGAAAGCTTCAAAATATCTATACAATTGTTTGGGACACCTTGTATATATATATTTATTATCTTTTTCTCCAGTCGAAGCTTGTCACCTCGAAAAGGAAGTTGGTCCTTGCCGTGCTCAGCTCCTTGTCTGGTATTACGATGCAGTTGAACACCAATGCAAAGAATTCAAATATGGCGGTTGCCAAGGGAATGCTAACAGATTCGGCACCAAAGAACAATGTCATCTTACGTGCCATCCTCAAGGTACATATCTCTTATAAATTAATACAATATTATTTATACAATATTGCCTATCATCTCTTCGATCATTTATTTCTTCGATTTATTTTGGTTTGTTTTAATGCAATTAACTATATGTACATTGTTTCGACAAGTAACTAGTTAACCGACAAGAGAGTGTAGTTCTATGACCAATGTAAGAATTTAATGTTGTTTTTAATCATTGATATTGTCGATAAAATCCATGAAAGAACTCGAGATTTCGTAATTAATACAGTTTACACATATGTGACATTTATATATATACGTTTGTCCTTAACTTTGTATACATTACTTGGAATATTATTTTCTCTTTCGCTAGTCGTCTGTTATCTCCCAAATGAAAGTGGACAGTGTTACGCCTACAGCGAACAATATTATTTTAATCCAAGGACAAAACGTTGCGAGCAGTTTTCGTACGGTGGATGTGGAGGAAATGCCAACCGTTTCTCTTCAGCTGCCAAATGCATAGAAGTCTGCGAATCACACATTGTAAGTGAGACTCCACCAAGACCACCTGTAACAGACAAACCTCTGTCCCATCCAGGTAGGTAATTTACAGACACGAATATAAATGTGTTCATTTAACTAACTAACCTTTGAACGTTGGACATTAGCCTTCATTGTAACATAACAGCCAAGAATATTCGAGTTAGATTTTTTATATTGACTTTTTTATTAAGCGCTTATGTAACACTCTGAGGTTGCCATAGAAAATTAAGGAAATAATCGAATACAAAGGTCCCCCAAGAAGCTTATCACTAGAATATCTCTCATGTTGGTGTGTTTGGACGGTGAATGTTTACTTAGTGACAGTATTTCGTCGGTGTGGCTAAGAAGGCGTATTTGTAATTTTATGTAAACAAAACGAAATTTGAAAAAAGGCCTAACGTAATATATGCCCTTATTTCCCGATACGCTTCTTTTTTTTTTTTTTTTATAAATTCCTGTTTAACATCACAAGATAACTTTGTATTGGAAAATAGCCTCTAAAATTCTAATCAGAGATCAGTTAATTCATTTCAAAAATAGCAAAATAACATAAAAATGTACGTCAAATGAAACCTTTTAGAATTATACCGACGGTAGATTAATTTTTTTTTTTTTTTTTTTTTTTGTTCTCCGGTTCTGTTTCGTTATGAGTTTGTTCTAACTGACTTATGATACGAATGAATGGACGATGGATAAGAACTTTCCCAATCTGCAAATTGATGTCATTAAGAATGATATAGACAAACTGTTTATACAAGGATATTTTGTAATCTTAAACTCATATTTTTAAAAGACTCATTGTAGGAAAAATACACTAACTTTGTTCTCTGCCACATTTTCTGAACAATAATTATAATAATTAGTTACAATAATTGTTAAAAAATCATGAATATTCAGGAATCTAACAATCCATGTAGAAAAAATGGGACGAGAAAACATAGAATTTCAATGGCCAATGAATCCATCTTGATAGGCCCAAATCATGAATGGTCATGAATCTGACACTTCATCTGCTACAATCTAATAGAAGTGAAGAAGAGCTAGAATGATAATATCAAATGATATAATATAATACACATCTACTTGAATCCATCTTTGCAGGCCCAAATCATGAATGGTCATCAATCTGACACTTCATCTGCTACAATCTAATAGAAGTGAAGAAGATCTAGAATGAGAATAGCAAATGATATAATATAATACACATCTACTTGAATCCATCTTGATAGGCCCAAATCATGAATGGTCATGAATTTGACACTTTATTTGCTACAACTTAATACAAGTTAGAATTCCATAAATAAATAATATAATACACCTATAATCTCCCTTGTCTTCAAAAACCGCCTCCCATCTTCCTACAAGCTTGATGCCATTTTTGAAGAAACTTCTATTTTTTTGTTGGAAGAAGATTTTGAGTTAGTTTACGACTGGCTGTACACTGTCAATTTTCTTTGTCCTTTAATTTTTTCTATAGAGACCGGAACAAATAAAAATCCGAAGAAACCAATTCGATAGATGCTGTATGATTTCCTTATTTCAATTCTTTAAGCTTCTGCGACGTCTGTTTTGCATAATGCATTCTTGTCTTGTCGTGATGGAGAATGGTGTATTTTCGATTTGCCAAAATCGGCAGTTTTTCTTGAATTCAAATGACGAAAAGCCTTTGAGACAACGACTTTTAAACAAGTAGCAAAATCTCTTTTTCGTTTAATTATTCAAGAAGACAAGCAAATCGTCTGCAACTACATCGGCTTTGTTGTTCGTTTAGATTAAAATCATCCTGGCGAATCCTGGAAAACAAATAAAGCTTCCGAATTATTTTTTTTTTTATCGCAGTTCCGACGCTTATTTTTTCCCGAAATTCAGATAGCATAATATGGAGAAAGTACAACTTCTCAATATTTACATTATTCGGACAATTGTCCTTATTTTTGTTGCCATATTTATTACAACATTTCGGCCGTTGTACGCTCCGGCCTTCTTCAGGTGGTTGGTATGTCGAACTGAAACTTTTATTTCGCTCACTGGGGTAGACTGTTCTAGTTCCACGGGCCATGTTTAATGGATGTCAGTTATCTCCTGTTAATTTCCCTCTAAAATTTCTCCACTGCCTTAACTGGGTATTGAACTCACACTTTTTGGGTCCTGTCACTGGATCTGACCAACCCCTTTATCCACTATGCCATGTGTCCTTGAGGACACGCGGTTTAGGCAGTGGAGAAATTTCAGGGGGAAATTAACAGGAGATAACTGACATCCATTAAACATGGCACGTGGAACTAGAACAGTCTACCCCAGTGAGCGAAATAAAGGGTTCAGTTCGACATTCCAACCACCTGAAGAAGGCCGGAGCGTACAACGGCCGAAACGTTGTAATAAATATGGCAACAAAGATGAGGACACTAGTCCGAATAATGTAAATAATGTACATAATACCTCATTTCAGAAATATAGGCAGATACTGAAGGGCCGAAAGATTGTAATAAACATGACGACAAAGATGAGGACAATAGTCCGAATAATGTAAATAGAGTACATAATACCTCATCTCAGAAATATAGACAGATACATCTTTTCATTGTCCATCTATAAGATATTCATTTGTGGAAAAAAGAAAAACGATAACATTCAACAAATTCTGATTCACAACTGAACGATGAAAAGTTGCAATCTAGATCACATAAAAAATTCGCGCCAAAACAAAGGCCAGTGTCATTTTACATCAATATGATTATCTGATATTTTATTTATATCCTTTTTTTGTAGAAAACCATGAATTGTCCTGAATTCGATCCATATGAAGTGATCCATTACTGTTCATTAATCTTCGTCCAATTTAGTCTATTTTAAGTTTCAAATAATTACAAACATATCAATGGGTATTAAGCCTCGCTTTTTTTTATAGATGAAACATTGGTGACAAGATCATTTGCACATTGATTTTTCATATGTTGAATGTCGTCTCACCTATTCACCTCTCACCCAGAAAACCTGATACGAAATATGATGTTTTCCAATGAAAAATATTCGAACAGGACCAATGTCTCATCTGCAGAAAAGGGGATGCCAAACAAGAACTTATAATCTAGCAATTGATAGAAATTTAAATCGTTTAAAATGGACCGAGATTTCCTCACAGTACACCCCGTGTGTTCATGTGTGGATATTTTGTGACATCCATAACATCTCTTTTCCATGCCTCATTATAACAATTTTGTGACTTCTCTTGACCTCTCACCCAGAATCCTTGTTAGAAAATATGATAATCCCGCATGCGGACGACTCGAATAGAACCAATGTCTCATCTATGGAATCGAGATTTCCTCACAGGTCACCGCATGTGTTCATATGTGGATATTTTCTTTTCCAGTCGAAGCTTGCCACCTCGAAAAGGAATTTGGGAATTGACCTTCCTATACTTCGAGGCACCAAAGAAAATAATAGATTCCACGGGCTTAATATAATGGTTCGAACAGACACAAGACTTAGACACGGTACGCAACAGTGGAACGAATCGAAATAAATTTGAAATAGTCACCAAATTATAAATGTGCATTTAGCATGGCGTTTTCCATAGATTAAATATTTGATCATCTTGGAGTCATTTCCATACTGAATTATTATAGTTTCGTCTGTCAACAAGTCTATTCCGTCACATATACATAACCTGGTAGAAAATAGGAAAGATTGATATGTAAATGACTCAAATAGGACCACTATCTTATCTGTAGTAATGGCGTTGCGAAAATTCCACTAATAATCTGATAATAACTATAAATTTACAATAGTTTCAAATGCTTGAAAACATATGTACTGTGCTGTGCGTTTCTATGTTTCTGAATATATCCATATATTTATTATCTTTTTCTCCAGTCGAAGCTTGTCACCTCGAAAAGGAAGTTGGTCCTTGTCGTGCTCAGCTCCCTGTCTGGTATTACGATGCAGTTGAACACCAATGCAAAGAATTCAAATATGGCGGTTGCCAAGGGAATGCTAACAGATTCGGCACTAAAGAACAATGTCATCTTACGTGCCATCCTCAAGGTACGCATCTCTTATGGATTAATAATGGCATAAAATGTATCTTTTATACAATGTTACCGATATCTTCGTTAACTGTTTATATCTGTTTCGATTCATTGCAAAAAAATAAAAATAAAAATAAATAAATGAATAAAATCGAAGTCACTTCAAGGGAATTCCCATGAGACATTAAATAATGAAACTCAAATTTCTGACCATCTCGCCGATTTTGTGTGCCTATTTAGTCAAGGCACCTTTCATGAACAACGAGGTCCCGGTTTAGGAGATATAAGTTCGAATCTTAAGTTTCCTCTTCATTTTGAATTCTCGAAAATCCTGATGAGTTGAGTTCACCGGATGGCACAATAATGTGGCATTATATACGAAATGTCCTTTTCTCTTTCAAATGACCATTCAGTCTTTGTCTTGTCATGCATGTATGAAACTGACCAAAATAATCGCTTTCTCTCGCCTGGTGTTTTTTTATGCCGGGCTGATCTCGCCAAGAAATTGCATACACCCAACCACTCTCGCCAATTCTCCTAGTTCTCCTGTGTCTGTCTTAAATTAAGGTGTTAAGACGGCCATATTTCTTTTTCTTTTCCTTCACTCATTTTGCACGCCAGGCAAATACGTGCTTGCTTTGCCACACGAGGTAAGTCGTCTTCTGGTCTACAATTATAAAAAGAGTGACGGATGACGATGATAAATTAGAGAGAGAGAGAGAGAGAGAGAAAGAAAGAAAAGATGGTCATACTGAAATAGATTAATATGCACAGAGATAGATATAAACTGGTCTAGATAGATATTTACATTATTTAATGATACGAACAGGTATATAGGTATATATTAATAGACTGAGATAGATAGATAGATAGATAGATAGATAGATAGATAGATAGATAGATAGATAGATATGAACACAGAGAGAGGGAGATAATCATGCTGATATAGATAAACAGGAACAAAATGTGAGAGAAAGGAAGAGAAAGAAAGAGAATGAAAGATATTTACATTATCATTATTTCACTAATTTTTTTATTGTAGACATTTGCGAATTACCAAAAAAGACCGGCCACTGTCTCGCCTACAGCGACCAGTATTATTTTAATTCAAGAACCAAACGTTGCGAGCAATTTGTGTATGGTGGATGTGGAGGAAATGCCAACAGATTCACTTCAGCTGCGAAATGTATGGACGTCTGCCAATCCTTGGTGAACATCGATATTCCACTATCAACACATCAACCTCATATTAATCCAGGTATTTTAAAGAAATTGAAATTCAACGTATATTTTTCTTATACTCTTTCGTTTCTTTTTTATATGCTCGCTTAGCATTTATCACTTGACTAAAAGAATGATAAAATTGTTTGGTACCAAATCGAGAACCATCATAAAAGCAGGGCAAAAGATATGTAAACCTTTACCTAGGCTTGAAGACCAACTATTGGCACCATTGTGAAATATATAGATACTAGCTTAAAAGCCGCCCTATCGAGCGGAAACCTCTTAACTGGTCTTTCATCAAAATAGGTAGGAAGGAGTAGATCTGATAGGTAACAATGAAATGCAGAAGAATTCAAAATTGATCGCTGCATTTAAGTATTGAATTAATATTTAAGCTTACCTTTAAAAAGTTCAACGATAATTCTTCTGCCGCCACTTACTTTAAAGACAGTTTGACGTACGTAGGTCTTTGCTTTCCGTGTAAACAATTATTTTTATTTCATGGGTGACTTTCGCAATTATTTTCGATTATTTCCAGATTTATTTCCAAGTTATAAAAATTGTCCTCGTACGAAAAAATTCGTCGCAAAAATCATGTAAAAAACAATCGCAGTAATGAAAACTTGGGAATCCAAAGTTTCAGGATTGCTAGTCCTGTAATGTTTTTAATTCAGCCAGCTTGATTCCAAAATGGTATGATACGTTGGGCTACGGCATCTAGGATTAAAAGTGAAAACACGGACAATTTTATTTTGAAAGACTGTAATTTGAGAACAGTATTTTTTTCATTTGAACATGAGCTATTGAAAGTTAGAGAGTTGTGTCCCTTTAATTGATTTATAAGTAGAAGCCATGATGTCGGAATCCGAAAATCATATGTTGGACTATGGAGTCTAGAAGTAAAGATAAAATGTGTGACATACTTAGATTCGTATTTATTGTTATAAATATCAGACACTCGATAGAATACATAGTCATAATGATCGCAATCATCATCCATTGCTTGTTCACTGCAGAGCAAAATCGTCTGTGATGACTGACTGCGTGCTTTTTTCGTCCATGTCTTACCAGCAAACATCACTAATGCATCTATCTGTTCCTTAGATCGTTTCCCACAGCGCCCGCCATTATTGAGCACGAATCAAGCAACCTTTAGCTACACCTGTTAACGTTTCTTCTTGTACTCTTTCCTGTCCAACTCTCTTAATCACTTCTATGATAAACTCTTATCTTGGTATCTGCTTACTGTGTCGTAAATAGGAAAAGTTGACACACATATAGAAAATAAGACGTAATTTATTCCGGGGAATAATATGATACACGGTTGTGAACGTGAACTAAAATAATAAACAGTTAATTGTTAACTCCTCCCCCTCATTAAGAGAGAGTGTTGTTTAAATAGTCTTAGTCGAGTTCATCTTGCGACGAAATTAGAGTACAAAGAAAAAAATATTCAAAATTAATTGCTCGTGTGTTATTTTAGCATGAAACCGATTGCCACCTCTGGGTGTTGACTTCAATGTCCACTTTTATGTTTACATACGCTCTATCCATGATATTGAGTACTTTAACCCATTAATATAACGTACCTTAAAACTAGATTTTATCATATATATATATATATATATATATATATATATATATATATATATATATATATATATATATATATATATATATATATATATGTGTGTGTGTGTGTGTGTGTGTGTGTGTTATAAGGAGGAAGCAGTTTCGAGCCCTGCCCAATGACACATTACTTTATTAAAACTCTCGAAACTCCGAAGTCAGTTGAAGAAACATTTACTATTTAAAAGAGAAAGTTGGTTACTCAAACACGTATTACCGCTAAATATGACACATATATAAGAAATAATATATAAATATATATATATATATATATATATATATATAGGAGACGCAGTGGAGTGTGGCTCGGATTGAGGGATCTGAGAACCGAGTTCAAATTCCAGTCGAGTTCATTACATTCACTTACGTGCTAATACCCTTTGGGAAATGCATGAATCCATCTCATCTCCCTCCAGCTATGGGTAAGATTGCTGGACAAGCTGGGATCTATAGCCTCGTGTGCCAACTTCTCTAGGAGAAGGAAAAATCTGAATTCAAAATTGTATGTAGCCCTGGTTATTCCTTACATATAAAATACAGTTCAAAAGTTTGAGGACACTCCTATAATTTTTTTAAATTGGCCCCAAAAGTAGTTGCTTTGTACTTTAAATAATCTTATACACGGCTAAAAATGTGAGAGTTGAATTTTTATTAGAAATTTTATTATGACAAAAACAACAAAAAATATGGTTAAATTTTGCTCTCGTCAAAATATCGTCTTTCAGCCTCGATTACTGCAGCTCAAATTTTTGGCATAGGTTTGATAATTGATTCTATTGTCTCTTCAATTACTCTTTTTCATTGTTTTTTTTTGGGGGGGGGGAGTTTCACTCTTCTGTCAAGTTCATCCCATGTTAATTCTGGGGGTGGCTTCAAACTTTTGAACTGTAGTAATATATTTTAATTTATTGCTTAAGTGATATTTTTAATGAATTTGAGTATTGTTTATTACAAAATAAATATTGTAGTATTTTGTAATAAACAATACCCTGATGATGACAATGATATGTCGAAAGTACTTGTAAATAAAAGAAATATGTATCATCACGGCGACTTTCTTCAATAATGACACCAAAAAGCTTATCAGGAGTATGAAAGGATCTTATCGAAAATAAGTAGACGGCCTGACGATTGCGTCCAGCATGAAACAGTCTGTCGCCTCTGAATGTTGACTTCAATGTTCACCTTTTTATTTTATATTTACATACGCTCTATTTCTGATATTGAGTACTTTATTCCATAAATATAACACACCTTAAAACTATATTTCTTCATATATATATATATATATATGTGTGTGTGTGTGTGTGTGTGTGTGTGTGTGTGTGTGTGTGTGTGTGTGTGTGTGTGTGCATGTTTCATTAAAAACGACAGACAAGGTACTAAGGTTGAGCTTTTTATTTAATTTTTTTGTGTTCTGACAAGAGCTTTCTTTTCTGGACAAAGGGTGTGTAAGAACTCTCCGAATGTTTTATATTTGTGTGACAAATATGGCGACAAAGATGAGGACAATAGTCCGACTAATGTAAATACTGTACCATTTGTTATAATCACTAAAAAACACTCTAAGTCATTCAATGTCTTCCCTATTGAGTAATGGTGAGAGGAAAAAGTCATTACGTCTTGCAATAATTGTATCAACATTCATAGTTTGTTCTTCATCTTCAAAGTCCATTTAAGACCGATCAAGAGAATGGTGAATAAATTAAAAAAAAAGAGAACAGTAGAGAGGAAAACTGAATCAGAAGGTCACAACAGAAAGAGGGATTATCATTTCAACTTAAAGCTAAATACATTCTTAGTAGAATGCAATAATGTTATAAAAACCTCGAAGAATTCCAGTAAGATATCTTTAATCATTTCTAAGATACAACGGTTGGACAATTTTGCTGTTACACAATTTGGACAATTTTGTTGTAACACCCGGTATATTATAATATATATAATGTACACACATAGAAATCAGCACTAGATTATGTCTAGTCTTTGTATGAACCCTTTATAAAGGACACTAGGGGATTATGGGAATAATGCGAGGAGAAACTGAAGAAGACAGTTTTTTGTTTCGGCCTTGAATTTGTTTATTTTATTTATTTATTTCTATTTTATGTTATTATCGTTTATTCATATATTATTTAATATTAATTTTATTTATTTATTGTATATACATTTCTTCAGTTTTAATGTTTGATTTTTAATTAAATTTCATTGGTTAATGTCTATGGGTTATTAGTGTTTAGTTGTTTCAGTCGTGATGTAGTTGTAGGTAGCGTAGTATCTACAAACACTCTACGCGCGATATGTAGTATCTTGTCAATTATATATAGCAAATTTTAAACAACATAAGTAGTGGACTAGCATCTTCATGAATTATTCACATGGACACTAGCAGTCTGACGCAATAATGCTCACTAGAATCCAAATACGCGTACATACCACAAGACAAAGACACCTGAGGTCTGCCTGGCCAATGAAAAACAAAGAGCTAAAATTAAAAGTACTAGAATTTTCTCTACCATAACTGTTTTCCAAAAGAAATTCTGAAGAAGCTTAAATAAAAGCGAAACATCTTAAATTTATAAACGCTTCTCCATTGCATCCATTTGGTTACGCCATTTTATAAACAACATCGATTTACTAAGCGTAGCTTAGAAGTGGCACAAGGCCGAAAGTATAGTGAGTCCAATGAGGATTGAACATACTATTCAACCATAAACAATCTAGCAAGACAATTTATTTGGTTACGCCATTTTATAATGCGACTATGAACAACATCAAAACACTTCAATCGCTGTTCAAAATAAACCAGTGATTAATTTAACTTAAAATTGGTGATGTCTTTTATTCTTTTTTGTTGTTGTTGTTTTCCATTTCAGAATTGTGCCAGTTTCCACAGGATTCAGGGAATTGTTTCAATTACAGCGAAATCTATTATTTCGACCAAGAAACAAACCGTTGCGAACAATTCGTTTACACTGGCTGCGGTGGAAATGCCAACAGATTTCAATCTCTTTCTGAGTGTCAAAGAGTTTGCCGTCCGGTTGAAGGGACGAAAAAACCAGTCACCAAGATCGATGTACCAGAAACCCCAAAACGGAATAAAGGTTAACATATTTTTATTTTTATGTGCCAAATTTCCATATTCTCTCAACTTGTTTAACTACAATATTGTCATTTCCAGGGTGTGTCACATCAATAGACAGTTATGGGAAGTTTTTATGATTAATGTTAGAACTAGTTTGGTGTGTTCAATAATGAATTATGGAGTCACACAGGAATTTCACGTGCTCAGTGTTCAATATCTTCTCCAGCTTATAATTGTACTGCTACTAGCACTACTACTGCTACTTTTATTTTATTTCCTTTGTTTTCTGGTGTGTATTCATTTCTTTCTGAGTCTTGACCGGATAGCTAAGTTCAAAAATACCATCATGACATTTTCCTCTGAGCAAACAAAAAAAAAAAATCAATTATTTTTTACATAGATAAAGCCCTTCATAAGGTGTGGGCAGTACTCGTGAGACCAATTTTATTATTACTAATATAATTATTATTTAAATAAGTTTTTATGGTACAAAATTTAACAATAGCTAGGAATAAGCAACATTTATATGGCATTTTTAAAAAAGCTAAAAAAGAACAACCAGTTTTGTCCCAACATTATCAAGTTTATTTTCTGGGATATAAAAAATATATAAGCGTGTAAATTAAATTAATATATCGAATGAAAGGAAAAAAATATGAATTTATAAAGAAAAACTAGAGTCCAATAACATTCAGACCCAGTAAGCATTCCCTCTGTTTACAAAGGGAAGGCCCACGACATCTGATGATATACAAGGACTCTAGAACCTTGAGGTGAAATGTGAAGTGGGACCTAGATAAAATCAAAAAACCGTCCGCACTAAAATCAAACACATAATTCCTACTATTTATTACATGCTCTGCTATTGAAGAGCCAGAAGTATTGGTTAGTTGACTTTTCCTGGCATCCGGATTCAAAATCCTGGTGGGGGTGGGGTGGGGGTTTTAAGTGTTGTTTTATTCTCAAATCCAAACGTTGGGACGTCCTCCCTATGTAGTCGAGTCCACAACTACACTTATATTTATAAATCACTGAATTTACATGATCGGTGGGGAAGGACATCCTTACGAATGGAAGAGAAAATAGGAGGGGTAACAAATATTACCCGAACATTTGCCGAAAAATAACAGCTATTGATCATACGTGAAATTCGTCTAAAGTCTCACCCTCTGTACCAAAATAGGGAAGAAGCAAATAAACTGGACATTTTTCAACAAAATGCGGCTTAACCCTATGAAATTTATTGATGTCATCATGAATAACAGAGTCCAAAACATCCAAAGCATATCCGTTTTTTGAAAGTGTCATCTTAATAAAATCAATTTCACCGCAGAGAAAGCTATCAGAACAAATCATAAGCGCCCTATAAATTAGGGTCTTAATCAAATTAACCTTTCGTTGTCTGGGACAAAAAGAGATCCAACGCGTATAAAGTCCCGAGAAAGTAGCCTTCCTAAATACAGAAGTCACAAACTTGTCACTAATCCTATGAACAAGAACATCCAAAAAGAAAGACAATTTTCTACGGTAAACTTAAGAGCGGGATGGACAGAGTTTAATTTGGTGAGAAACAAGTCGGCTTCAGCCTCATTATTAAAGGACCCAAAGGCAAACCCATCGCTACACCTGTCAATCTGCCGATACATAATATTATCAAAACTAAATTCGACAGACGCGGTGGTGAACATCGTGAGATCCACAAACACATCCTCAGGAAAATCCGGAGGAGACAAAGAGGTACGATACAACATATCGTAACACATCTCAATCGTCTCAGACAGGGGAACACGGGTAAACAAGGAGCAGATATCAAACGAACACATGAACCCACCATCAGTAGAAGAATTACGTATAATTTCAACAAAGGAGAAGGAATCTTTAATGCAGTAAGTACTGGTGCGACAAAACCGCCGGGGTTATCATCTAGAACCTGGGGTACGGCAGCGTAGTATGCATTCTGTTTGATTACATTCTGATAATGAGTGATACTTAATATATACAGCTGTTATATTCCCATTAAAGTGAGAATACTTAACCAAGTAAACAAGCAGATCCATATAGTGTTTTTTTAATATCTTGTATATAGGAATCATCAAGGATTTTGTCAATTGTTGGGTTTCTTATCGTCTATGGCTTCATAAATTGCATCAACGACGGACAAGTGTCTATTTCATCTTGATTTATTTTATAAAGAGCATCGTTTCTAGGAGAAAGCGAGAGGGAGATAATCAAGAGGAGGTTACTTGGTCAAAATCTCATCGTCACCTTCTGGCTTATCTCATTTGTTTTTAAAATACATACAAATATGAAAATATAAAAACAAATCTTTGTAACAAAGTCGCTGATCTTGAGAAAAACTTTTTGGGGTTTTTTTTTTTTCTCAAGACAAGTCATCTTTGGTACAAAGACTTGTTTTCATTTTTATATTTATATGCATTTTTAAACATAACTTGAAGAAGACAGACATACTGTCGAAATATTGTTAAACTGTTAAGCACTGTGTCTTTTTTTTTCTGTTCTTAACTCACGCTATTCTGGACGTTGTTGTTGTTGTTGTTTGTTTATTTTGGGAGGGGGGCGTCGTCGGGACGGTGATGACAGATCAACTGGCTTTCTGACCGATCCTGTTGTAGTCAGGTGATGTTTTTATCGTTATCTTCTATCCCGTGGTTTTACTTCAATGTCGCTTTTCGTTTAGCTTTACCTTTCTTTCTTTCTTTCTTTCTTTCTTTCTTTCTTTCTTTCTTTCTTTCTTTGTATTTTTCTTTCTCTCTTTCTTTATCTTCGTTTTTTCATTCTTGTTCCTTTCTTTCTCTTCCCTTCTCTATCTTCTGTTCTCTCGAATCTTTTCCTTTCAGTTTTTCTTTCTTTTCTTTCGCTTCTTCTTCTTCTTTCTTGCTGTTTCTCTCCAATTTTCCATCAATTTCTCATCTGGATTATTTTTTTTTTGTTACCTACAGAGGTTTGCAGGTTACGAAAGTTGATTGGACCTTGCAGCTATAATATCACTGCGTGGTACTTCGATGACAAGTATGGAGTGTGCAGCATGTTCGTCTACAGCGGCTGTGGCGGAAATAAAAATAACTTCAAAACTTTGAAAGAATGTGAAAAAGTATGTCAGCCAACCAACGGTAAGTAATAAATACTGGTAATAAATACTGGTAATAAGTATTGGGAAAAGATGTCTCATGAAATACTTTCGGTGAAACATCGATGAATTTATATAAATAATTCTATGAATATAAAAGGGATCTTTTACCAAATCGAAATAAACTCAATTCATCAGACGTTCATCATAAATCTAAACAAATGATTCCCAACGTGGGGTTCATGCCCCACCGGTGGGACATCGTAATATTTTGGTGGGGGGCATGTTTAAAATGTACACCCTTCGACTTACTATACCAACAGAATAAGGGGTCAATTCGAGAATGTGTTATTAACAGTGAATTGTTTTCTTGTGAGTCTGAGTGTGAGTGTGAGTGTGAGTGTTAGTGTTAATTCGTTTTAGTGCATACAACACATATACGTTATGCATACATCAAAATATGTTGTGTGTACGTACATGTGTAATTGGCATACAGGGTATTTCCCGTCTCCCCACACTCGCGTGTCTTGGTCAAGAGAGGAGAGAAAGAGAGAATGTTTTTTCAGCCAATCAGCGCGTGTGACCATTCAGTGAACATTACAGGCGGGGGGGGGGTTGTCACCATAATTTTAGAATTACCAAAGTGAGGTCATGGCACCAAATCGGTTGGGAACCACTGGTATAAAAATAAATTCCAACTTAAAGAACATGGTTCTGATGAAAAGAGAAAGAAATTTATTAAGGAGAAAATTTATTGAAGGTGAACTAATTTCGAAACTTACATCCAATTTCATATCTCCTTTCTTCACAAAATGACTACTTCCGCCGAATTGACTTAACGATTTGAGCGATTATATTTGACTGTTCACTGATACTAAATAGTGAACTGATTTTCTACTGAATGATCGACCAAGTTTGGATACAAATAATTAAAATTCTTAATTTTTTTAGCGGTTTGCTTTCAAAAGTAGTCAACTGTGGTATCCCGCCGCCCACTTACTATTCACGCTTACAGACACGCGCTGAAAATCTTACAGCGTAAAAACGAGGCAAACTCAATTATGATATGAGAAATTTTAAAGAATTTTGCCAGATGTTCTGAATTGATTTTTTTATTAATCCATATATTTTTACATTTACTTACGTGCTAACGGCCTTGGGAAAGGTATGAACCCTCTTCTTCTCTCTCCAGCCATGGGTAATTAGCAGGACAGGCTGGGTTTTATAGCCTTGGATGGCAACCGGTCTAGGGGAAAGAAAACTCCGCATTCAAAACTGGCCTGGAGAGGGTTGGGCTCAATTAAGAAACACCACTTCTATTTTGGCTGCGATACCCATGGTGACCTTACGTCCCTCACGGGTTTCGAGATAAAAAAAAATATATATATATTTACCAGTATTGCTTTTTTATCGAATGGTTTTCTGGAGATATATTCGGTGCCCTGCAAGCAAATTCGAACCAATTCAGTAGTTTATTTGATCGTCACAGGGCTCCCCATTACCATACGCCAGACAACTAAAGTTTATGAACCAACCATAAAATGTCTACAGAGTCTAAAAAGTTAACAAGTTACATTACCAGAACATTTTTAAAAGTATATATTAACAGAAAAATATATTAAAAGAAAGAGAGAAGTGCAAGAATAAGCATAAAAAATACTCACCGTAAAGTGGTGAATCGAAAAAGAAACAAAAAGGGGTTTGTCGCTCCTCACTCTTCAGAGCTCAATCGAAGACAAAGTATGTAAATTTGTTCACTAAAAAAGGGAAATAAAAATGCTCCCAGAAAACCAGATGTATAAACCACAGATAAATTACATTTAGATTCAACAACTATTCCCTCTACTTACAAAGGGAAGGCTGCGTAGACTTAATATAAAGTGTCTCAGGCGTTCTCAAATGTGCAATGTCAAACTAATGTGAAAGATTTTCTGGTGAAAGAAGAGGCGGGTGTTCTGCAATTGCATCAACGTAAAGCAGATGAAAAAGTTCCGTACCGTTCTCACGATGGTATGTGCTGATGCATCCTCGCCCCCAGTTCTACTAAATATAATCAGCTTCACGTTGACGTTTAAAACCGCTATGTTTTCTTTTTGTTTAAGAGTATTTATCTATTTTCAGATGTATGTAATCATCCAATGGCCACGAAACCGTGTTCAAGTTCGAAAGCATTTTGGGTCTATGACAACGTCAACAAAACCTGCCGCCATTACCCGATTGGACACTGTGAGGAAAATCCTCTTCAGTTCATCTCTGAGCACGCCTGTCAAAAACAATGCCTCCATCAAGGTAGGACACGGGAATCTTTATTGGTCTCTCGCGACAAATGATTACGTTTATAGCAACAATAAAATAATAAAAAGGAAAATATGGTCACTCCATTGAATTCATATCAGAAAAAATATCCAAAGCGGTGGTAGAAAAAACTAGAATGATCAACTATATCTGGAAATAGCAACATAAGCAGCTATTGTATCAACTGACTCTGTGCCAACTGGGTTTTTTGGGTTTTTTTTTTTACAGTGAAGTTCACCTTGTAAAAGATTTGGGGTCCACCCAAGGTAGAGGGTTACAGTAAAAGGTAGTTTATGCGGGTAGGAGGACAAGATAACGGTTGACCCTAGACTGGAATATGTTAAGATTGTATTGATCGGGTAAATAACTTGGAACTGAGTATTCACAGATTAATACATAACAAATGTCTTCTTTGAATACGGAGGAAAGCCTCCTCGAAGATAAGGAAACAGGTGAGAAGAACTCACCGATATTGCAATGATCCTGTACTGCGAAGTGATATGTAGTATGACGTCTCTCACGTGGAATGACGTCATAGAACCGCATCATGAATGGAAGACCTGCGTATGCTATTCCGCGACCGTTATCGTTGTCTAGCAAACTTATGTCAACATAATAGAATATCATCTTTAATAGTGAATATCTTTGCTTAAATGTCCATATAACCACTCTGAAGATGTCTGTTATATTTAACAATACATGTTTGAATGATGATCTGCTGCCCCAATAGACTAAATTTATATATATATATATATATATATATATATATATATATAAACAAATGACGTCACACATTATGAAATGGACAAAGTCCGACAATTATATATATATATATATATATATATATATATATATTAAGACATTTTTATGTTTATACCTTCTTTTTATAGATACAAATATTTAAGTAAATGCTCTGTTTATAATAAACAGTATTAACGACATTTACCGGCCTGAATGTACGAGAAATTTTCATAGAAAATATGCGTCCACCGACAGGAATCGAACCTGTATTCTATACGGAACCGTCATATAGCCTCATGTGCTTTACCGATTGAGACACACACACACACACACATTTGTTTAAAAATATGATTCCTTCGCTACATAAGAGTTCTCATGTTTAAGTGGTCAGAGAGTTAATTCTTATCTATAGATTCATCATCTTCTGAGAGGTTTTGCTCAGGTTGGGTAGGGTATCTATTTCAACGCTAATGTTGGCGGTCATCCTCTAGTTAGTTCCTAGTGAGGGATATTTTTATGGCGCACCTACAAGTCGCAAGGTTTTTGTTTTATTATTGTCTATCTGATTATCCCTTTATTTATTTGTTTATTCAAGTGGGTGTTTTATATACAAACCGTATTACACTGAATTTCAATTTGTTTTTTGACAACGATTTAATGATTTGGCTAAGCTTTTAAGACTTTTATTAAACTATGGGATTTTTTATGCTAATTATTTAATGCGAAAATTTGTTGATGTCGGAGAAAAAACCGTTAACTCCTGCCTATGATTTAATAATCTTTCATTATTTAGAAACTTAATGATGTGTAGTTTTTCGTGTAGGCATAAAGGGTATGGGTCATCCCAGGTTTTACAAGTTCTTGTTCTATTTACTATTTTCCATTTTACTTTTGGTGTTTTATTCGTTTCTTTTAGATGCCAGAAATATTGGGATAGAGATGTCTGATTTCTATTTTGAATGTTGTTGAAGGAGCTCTTGTGTTGTCTCTATCTAATTTTAAATTTATTCTTCGTTGACCCAATGTATATCCTATCAGTGTTAGGACTCTCAATGGATGAGATAGTGCATTGGTATATCACGGATTTTGTGATGCATTTATTTTCCAACGGGCAGTCTTTAGGGTTTCTACAATCACATAATTTTTCGTTATTTTTTATCTAATTTTAGTTTATGAGTTTTATTACTGTTTTGGTATGCGTGTTTTTCTAGGGTTTTCTTATTATGTCTTTTAATGATTCTTTCTAGATTTTCATTGCAGCTCTAACTCAATTTTAAGGTGTTTTTGTTAAAGATCTCGCTAAGTTTGCTATTAGTGGGAAAGTGCTTTTCAATTAAAGCTAGGAACTGGCCTAGTTTGGTACTGACCATTTGGTTGCACGGAGGGGTATACCAGATGATCTTTCTTTTCTTGTTTTTCTTATTATTGGTACTATCGTTTCTATAGGTTATGTCAGCGTTTTTGTATCCGCTATTTTTCAGGGCTGTATTATAAAAACTGCTGTGTTGTCGGAATATTTCCTTTAATTGAAAAGCATATACATATATGTGTATATATGTGTGTATATATGTATATATGTATCTATGTGTATGTGTACTTGTTATCATAAATATGTATATGTATGTATATATTTATGATTATATATTTATATTTATGTATTTATATATATATATATATATATATATATATATATATATATATGTATGAATGTATATGTGTGTTGGTTTGTGTTTGCTGCCGCGTGTATATATATGTATCTATGTATGTACGTATGACTGTACACTTATTTCTGTAGGTGTTTCTTTTTATCTTATTTTTCTTCACCTAATATATAATAAAGCTATTATCAGCTTATATGATTAAAATATATTGATATTTGTGGGTTTGGAATTTTCGTTTTTTAATATATTAAATAATATTATTTTTAACCATTTTTAAATTTGTATATTTGCTTGCTTAAGTTATATTTTAATAAGTGGCTAGCATTTGCTTAATGATACTTTCAGTCTTAAATATTTATTGGTTGTGGTATCTGATTGTCTAGGTCAATGTCTGTGGATGTGTGCACATGTATTTATCGGTGTCTATGTGTATGGAAAGTGCATTCACTTTTAATTGTGTATGTATGTAGGTGTTGGTTTCACCTCCCCCTTTTTTTCATAAAGGACCTTGGAGATGTTCCCTGTCTCGTCACTTTTTTGTGTGTATATATATCTAAATATGTCTGGGCGCTTATGTATTATAATCTGATTATGTTTGTGTTGTTTTACGCGTGAGTTTAGGACCCCATTCACACACTTAGGATTAAAATGTATACATATATATTGTCGGATGACCGGATGACGTAGCGTCTATTCTAACGTAATTTCAATGAAGAAATCAATTGAATAACATATGTATTTCTCCTTTTCTCCTCAGTAATTTTATAATTTTAAACTTAATAACGATTAAGTTTGTATTTTAAAATTGGCAGTTTTTAATTTTAACATCAAATTTTATCATATAATTTAATAATTATTGGTTAGAATAAATTCTTTTTTAAAATTACCCATATTTCAAAGACCTGAATAGCTATTATAACATGACTTCGTTGTCAAACTTTTTGAATTTTCCTATATTTGTATTTTGATTGGTCATTCTAGCTTTTGTAACAACGTTTTCCCCTAGCGAAGGATCGTTAATTAATTTGAAACTTTTAAAACCATTTATTTTACATTCAACATCATCACTTGATAAGACACCGAGGGTGTTGAAACAAAATGGCTATTTTTGTAGTGATTTTATAACATATTTATGTTATAAATTTTTTTAAATAAATAATTATATCTGCTCTACTTTGCATTGAGCACTCTTTTAAGAATAGTAATTGTTGGTTATTGGTTATTCCGTATACACCAATTATATACTATATATATATATATATATATATATATATATATATATATATATATATAAAGATATGTTTTGTGGTACAGATTATTTTTTATTACTACTCATGATGATAAGAAATAAAAAGTAAAACTGAAAACTTACTTTTTATCTCTTATCATTATGACTGGTAATAAAAATAATAGTCTTTTTTATGCCAGTCATATAGGGTGTTTCAGCAAAATCCGACACATGACAAAAAGAAAACGAAATAGGCAATAAAGACAAAAAATTTATATGCAGAGACCCGACAATTTATTTAGCAACAGCGCGAAATAAATCACACGCTTTGGTGACCATGTCATTGTCCCTAGCGACGAACGCCTCCACAATGGCAGCCTTCAGAGAGTCGATCGTGTTGCGAGCATGCTTGTTAGTCTAGGCCTCGATCACGCCCCAGAAGAAATAGTCAAGGGGGTTTCAGTCGGGTGAATAAGGCGGTCACAAGTCCGGCGACCAGTGGTGAGGAACATTGTTGAGCAGCCACGCCTGGATCGTATTGGCCTTGTGTGTAGGAGCGGAGTCCTGCTGGAAGACGTAGGGGCGTCCGGCGGCGATCTCGTCCATCGAGGGCTTCACCACGCTCCTCAGCACCACCTAGTAGATCTCAGCAGTGATTCTCAGACCCTTTTGAAAGAACAACAGAGGCATGACGTCCCCTTTGCGGGAGATGACGCCAAGGACCATGACGGAGGAGGGAAACTTCGTATGCTTCACGACGGGAACCTCGTCGATGTTTTTGAATATCCATCTGTCGTTCTGCCTGTTGCTTGTCTGTTCCTGAATCAGAGAAGAACCTCAGCATCCCGGCGGACCCGTGCTTGAGCTCGTTCAACAAATCCGCCGACTTTACCTTCCTCGACTCCTTGGAGGCATTCGGTGAGACTTGCGGTAGGAGGACTAGCCAATTTCTTCTTTATCGTTCGGTAGATCGTCGACGTGACAGCCGATATCAGCGACGATCTTGACGTAGATCTGGCTTCCATCATTGTCGACTATCTCCGTAACGTCGGCGACGAACTCGTCGGACCTAACGGCCGAAGAACGAACATTGTGGGCCTTTCGTTTAGCAGTAAACTCGTTCTTGTAATCACACGCCTTCCCCTTCCTCCAAATGTCTATGACCATGGTCCATTTGAACCCAAACCAGGCCATCACTTCCGCAGGCTTCTTCCCGACGCGAAAAGAAGCTACTACCGCTGTTCTGCGCTCATATTCCATCCTAGAAAAGGGTAGAGAGAAAAACGTTAGCTGTCAAACTGTCGGGTATCTGTATATAGAACTTTTTTATTGCCTATTTCGTTTTCTTTTCGTCAAGTGTCGGATTTTGCTGCAACACCTGTATATATATATATATATGTATATATATATATATATATATATATATATATATATATATATATATATATTCATGAAATGCAAAGGTTAATTATTTAATTGGCGAGAAATCCATCGTCGCAAACAATTCAAATAATATACAAAACCTCCGAATCCGTTATGAATGAAAAGATCCTTGTTTCTATAAATTTCTGCCGCATTAGTTCTTATTTTTACTACAAGCTTTTGTCTGTTCCTACAGACATCTTCAGGTATGGAATAGATGTTGTTCTTTTTTTTTCTCTTAGTAATAAGAGGACAACGAAAATATATGTATTGTTGTATCCGAAAATGCTATTGGAAATGAGTTATTGTTTTTGGAGCGTGCAATAGCAACGATGAGTTTGATTTTAAAATTTTTTACAGTTGTGCGTTCATGTACAAATATGGTGATAAACGAATTTTTACTGGTAAATTTTCTGTCAAAGTGGCATGAACTATATTGTTCAATAATTACAGTAATGTCGCACTTATTATCCAAAAGTCGCACTTGGATCAGTTATTTTAATTTCGATAAACGTGCAATCAATTTACAAATTCATGAATTATTCACACAAAAAACAAATGCAAAGGTTAATGATTTAATTGGCGAGAAATCCATCGTCGCAAACAATTCAAATAATATACAAAAACCTCCGAATCCGTTATGAATGAAAATATATAGAAAATAGGAAGGAACTGGTTAGGTAAATAATCCAAAGTTCCTTAGTATTTTAGTTATTATTTTTTAAAAATAGTACTCGATACAAAAGTAGAGCATAAATATAATTATTTATTTAAAAATATGATTCCAACTCGCGACATAAGAGGTCTCATGTTTCAAAACAAGAGCCGAAAACTTCAATATAATTATTTGAATTAAATTGAGTTAAAGTAAGCTCTGTTCCATCTTCAAGCGAATTTTTTTTTTTTTTTTGGAATAACGTATTTCTGAAATTTACGTGTTTTAATAATTGAAATCAAAAATCAAAATTTCCATGGTAACAGCTAGGGCGAATTGTTTAAATTGGGTAGGTGTTATTACAATATAATAACTTTCATAATCCATAGCCCAAATAAATAGTTTAAATACCCTACAAAAAAGATAACCCTTTATGAAGTCGGCAAAGAACAAACGTTACGGCAGTTTTTTTTGTTTGTTTGTTTGGGGTTTTTTTATGCACAAATCCCTTTCATCATAAAAAAATTAAATAAAAAAAATAAATAAATCTCCATAGACACGCATACCAGACTAGGGTGAATACATCTTCCGTTTCAAATTTAGACACCCCCCCACATTTCTCTGACTTGACATCTATGAAAGTAACTCTATACTGATACTTATTATTAACACCCAACACACGCCTACCCAATTTTATGTAGTCCTGTGAAGTTTTGTTGAAATCGGTAGAAAAATGTAGGAAACCCGATCCAATATATAAACGTTACAGACACACACACAATCTGCGTTTTATAATAAGTAAGATAATCCATAAATTATATTATTCTATACTGTTATTCAAAATTGCTGCATAATTTCGATGTTTGTATATTTAATTATATTTATTTAGGTAAAGAGACAAAAGATATTTGTCATTTCCCAATGGAAGAAGGCCCTTGCAGGTCTTATATTCGTGTTTGGTACTACAATATGGACGACGGTATTTGCAAGCCTTTTATCTATGGTGGATGCGAAGGAAACAAAAATCGATTTGACCTGAAGGAGAAATGCGAGAGAATCTGTAACAAACACAGTGAGTTTCTTGCGTATTTTTAATTTTTTTTTTTCCGTTTCAGTTAATTCCCTTTTAGTTATTCAACTCTGCTGTGACCAGGTATTGAACTCACGTCACTTTGTGGATTAATCAATCAACGCTTTTATCCACTGGCCCATCCGTGGACTAAATAAAGTAATAAAATATTGACATTCCAACGTATATCGCCTGAAGAAGGCTAGAGTGTACAACGGCCGAAACGTCGTGAGTATGGCAATAAAGATGAGAGCAACAGTTCAAATGATGTTAATAGTTACAATACCTCATCTCAGAAATATAAACAGATATGTTTTTAGAAGTTTGGAATTTTGCATACAGTTAATAAAACATATACTTTTACCTATACGCTAAATGACTGCTCATAGCAGGTACGTCATAACGGAATAGGACTTATTGCTGACGAAAACAGTAATTAGTAAAATAATTTGGGCTTGTTGAAACTGGCCCAGTTAAAAAGATTACTGGCACAAATGACCCAAGAAAATTATTACGAGTCGGTGTTAGTGTCCAGTCGCGTGGTAAACTCGCTTCACGTAAGAGCCCCTGATAAGATATCACTGTGAAGAGGTGGTGTCCTTGAACCATGTTAGGTAATCCACCTAGGGAGAGAATAAGGAATATATAAACTAACTCATTAGTGCAATGATGAAAATATCCATAGCCATGTCGAAGGGGAGGGAACTCCGCATTAATTGCTACGAAATGTTTGAGGACGGTCAATTGATGGAAAATACTCATAATGCCAGATTTCCGGTTGAAATCGAAAAACCATGCAGAAAAGAAGTCTGCTTAAAAAACGGCAATTTTTTTGAATAACAAAAAATTCGTATGCATTTTACAGCAACAGTAAATCTACACACGTCATTTATTCCAAAGGCTATGCCTACAGTAATCATCAGTGAAATTCGTATGACAGCCGGCAAAATTGATTTTCGCGAATTTAAATTAGAGACAAAAAAAACAGTAGAACTCTACCGAATATTTAACGCGTTTTGTTGAAGGTGAATTGTCACAGTTTTGGTTGGAAATAAGTTACACCAAGTTGCCTCTTGTAAAAGATTACTTTGAAGAAATGACGATTTATGAACCGAGGAATTGTCCTGATCATTGTACATCTAAATTGTCTAATATACATGCATTAAGTTGCCATACCTGTATTACCTTGAAAAAAATATTTCTAAGCTTTGCTTAGAAATATTTTTCCAACATTCCAATATTTTTTGAAAAAATTGTTCAATTTTAGGATTTAATATTTTTTGCATATTTTTTCTTTATTTCTTTAATTTTAGTAAAAAAAAAAGAAAAAAAAACCGGATGAACACTTTTACATTTCATAATGTTAAGAAATCCTTTCCGTTGATATAGGAATATCTATTGATCTCTGCGTATTTCATAATGCATATTTTTCCAGCAATTTGCAAATTAAAGAAGGACTCAGGTCATTGCTATGGCTATAATGACGCTTACTACTTCAACCCGGCGAAGAACATGTGCGAGCATTTTGTGTATGGTGGCTGTGGAGGAAATGCCAACCGATTCTCTTCAAGAAAACAGTGTCACGAGTTTTGCAGTGGGCATATTTCCAATGGCTCCCACGCCACAGAACTCAGAGGTAAAGGAACTGTATTTTCATTGTCATGCTATTTTATTAAATGAATTTTTCATTATCACCATTTGTTTATCGCTGTGTATTGCGTGACAGCAACTCTTTTCAAATTTTCAGCACCTTCCTCAGTCGTCTCATAAATTGAAATACGGCTGGGCTTTGGACTTATTCTAATGTCGCTTCTTGTGTTTTTGTAAGTATTTTAAGACAGCTATTTATCATGAGCGGAATTCTGATCTTCATGTGCCACAATTTCTTCTGTTCGTGGGCAAGGCAATTTCCCTTTAATTTAATTTATCTTATAGCAATTCATAGGTAATTAAAAATGAAATATGTGATTGCCTAAGTTCTGAAGGCATAGGGCATTTAAACACACATACACATAAATTAATTAGAGAGAATTAATATGAGTAAAAGTTTGTCACTTAGCTGATTGATGTTACCATCATCATCCCGACTTCAAAGTTTCGTAGACAGACACATCAGTCCACTCTTTAGGAGGTATCAGCAATTGACTGCTTACATTTTTCAATCTTTCTTTCTTGCGCACTGATTGGTGTAAGTTTTTTCCATATTTATGTGCGTTTGCGCGCGTATAGCCATGCGTCCATCTGTGCGGATGTGCTTTGGTTTAAGGTGTCGTGATTATATGTACTTTTCTTTCTTTTTTCTCGATTTTACACTCACCTTTTTCTCTTTTTTTTCTCCTTTTTTCACAGAAAGGTTAGCCTGGTACAAGGCCCGTGGACCACTCGAGGCAGAGGGCCATGTTCAGTAGTAGTTAATATGGATAGAAGTGGAAGATAACTGTTGACTGTAGACTTGAACAGGTTAAGATTGTAGTGATCAAGGCAACATCCTCTTAGGAGTCTGTGTCATAGGGCAGTGGTTCGCGGAAAGAAGCTATTTGAGTGAAACTTACTTCTCGCTGATGGAATACACGGGGGTAATGTGGGTGGGGTTTGCTACTACGTAAGTGGCATGGCGAGTTCTAGCAGTTAAGGTCAGATCTGGCGAAACCAGGTGATGAAGTTCGTCCGAGCACTTTCCATGATAATAGCGATAGAGTAGTGAGAGGTTCGCAACATCCCGCCTGTAAGAGAGAAGTTGGAGGTTGGAAAATAATTCATCACCCACAAGGCCACATAAATGCTTTTGAACTCTATCAAAACTGGAAAGTGAGTTTTGGACAACTCCCGGCTAAAAATGGTGGCAGTACTCCATTTCCGGCTTGATCGTAATTCGGGCTCTGATCGGCCGTGATGGAATGTAACCAGCTTGGTTTTAGAGGCACTGAATATAACCACCCTGTTCTTTCCCACTAGGAAGTCAAGAATTTTAGAGGTTCACCCGTATATCTTCTTATCCTCAGCATAGACGTTTATAAATGATCGCACTATATTCTTAAGTAGTTCATTTATGTAAATCAGAAAGAGGGTTGGTCCGAGAAGTGACCATTGAGGGACGCCTGCGTTAACTGCCATGGCCTTGTAGAACTGTCCATTAATAAACTAACTTCGGGGATCTTTTTGCTAGGAAGGATTTTATAATAGAGAAAACCCTTCCAGTAATTCCATAGTGGGAGAGCTCTGTGTAGCAAACCTTTGTGCCACACTTTGTCGAAGGCTTTCGAGATATCTAATGCTATGGTTCTTGCAGTGTGTATGTCGTCGAAAGCCTCACTAGTTCTATATGTAATGGTATTAAGGACGTCAGCATTGGATCGGGCTGATCGAAACCAATACTGCTCGTCGCACAAGAGGTTGTTCCTATTCAGATGCTCGATGACCTTCTTATTGATTAAGGCCTCAAAAACGCTTACTGATGATACTAAGAAGATTAATGGGTCCATTCTGAGAGGAGGGGAGGATTGGTCTCCCGCGTTTTTGCAGAACGGGCATACACTTTCCACCTTTCACTGACTTGGGAAATATTTCTCCTTAATCAGTGGTTAAATAACTTTGCTAGGATCGGGGAAGATTCTGGGTTGATATTCTTAAGGACGACCACTGGAATTCTGTCTGGACCATTGGTGTTTTTCTGGTCGAGTCTTTTGATACGTCTAGTGACTTCTCTTACTTAAATGAATATAGTACTGAGCTTGTGCTCAGTGAGACGTGGGAAGCTGGGGAGAGAATAGCCTTTATCATCTAACGTTGAGTTTCAGGTAAAGATCGAGACGAAGAACTTCGCCTTGTCTGTTGAGGTGGATATGAGCTCGGGGCCATTTATAATAGTGGCCACAGCCGCTTTGCTTCTGTTCATAATTTGGTTGCTGATCTTCCAAAATTCTCGAGATCCAATCAACTTTGGCCTGGACAGATCTATCGTGGCTGTACTTGGCATTTTCCAGAACTCTCTTAGAGCGATTGAGTGTTCCTGTTCAGATGCTCGATAACCTTCGTATTGATTAAGGCCTCAAAAACGTTTACTGATGATACAAAGGAGACTAAGGAAGTAAGGACTAGACTACATCCCTCCTTGCGATAGATTTTGAAGTCGTATTTCAGTAGCTGCAGTGTATTCAGGGGTGTACCAGAGCTGACTGTTTGGTATTTGCTGGAATTTGGTGGGGGGACTATAAAACACTCCATTACAGAAAGGAATCCATTCCTAGGTTAATACAGTAGTTTTGGGGGCAGCATGTTTGAAAAGGTTTGAGAGAGGAGCTCATATAGGACCGAAAGCTGCCCCAGTCTTTATGTCTAATTGTGTCAAGGAACAGCTTTCTTTATGCTATATATATATATATATATATATATATATATATATATATATATATATATATCCAAGTATAGGATTGGTGTATACGGAATAAATTCCAATAACCAACAAATACTATTCTTAAAAGAGTGCTCAATACAGAGTAGAGCAAATATAATTATTTATTTGAAAATTATAACATAAATATGTTATAAAATCACCAGAAAAATAGCCATTTTGTTTCAACACTTCTTGTGTCTTATCAAGTGATGATGTTGAATGTAGAATAAAAGAGTTTTAAAAGGTTCAAATCAATTAAACATCCGTCGCTAGGGGAAACGCTTTTACATAAGCTGGAATGAGCAATCAAAATACAAGTAGATGAGAATTCAAAAAACTTGACAACGGACTTTGGTTATAATAATTATTTAATGCTTTTTATCGTAGGCTTAGACTAAAATAGAATTCATTCTAACTAATAAATATTAAATTATACTATAAAATTAAAAATTACCAATTTTAAATTTAATCTATATTAAGTTTAAAATTATTTAAAGAAACCGAGGGAAAAAATACATGTTTTTCTATTTTGTTTTTATTGAAATTAAGGAGATGTATATTGTAGTTGTTGTGTGTATCCACTTGCTTTTAGTGCTTCGTTGTATGGTGTTTTTTTGTTATTGAAAATGTGTATGTTAGATGATTTCTCAGATAGTCTGCGGCTGATTGATATGGGTGTTTGATCATTGAAGATGGGTGGTTGGAGGATGTGTGTACGTAAGTTGGGGTGTCATTATCTTTTTTGTATGGTTCGTATGTGTTGTTGTTCAGGTTATGAGTGAAGTCAAGAAAGTTTACTGTTGTTGTGCCTGCGTTTATCGCTATTTTGAATCCAATGTTTTTTAGGGCGTTCACTATTTTCTTCCTAAAAATATCACACCAACAGATAGATATATTTATATATATGTTTATTTGTAGATATGTATGTATGTGTGTATATATATTTATGTATGTTTGTGGATGTATATGTGTGTGTTGGCACCTATTATGTATGAGTTTGTTTGTGTGTATGTGTGGGTATGGAAACTTTGGTATGTCATGACTGTTTTTATATATGTGAGTATGTGTGCATAAAAATGTGTGTATATATGTGTGTATTTATGTTTATATGTATATGTGTGTGCATGTGTACTTGTTATCATAGATATGTATATGTGCGTATATGTTTATGTTTATATATTTATTTGTATGTATTTCTGTATGTATATGTATGTATGAGTGTATGTTTATGTGTGTTAATTTGTGTTTGCTGCCGTGTATATATATGTATCTGTGGGTTTCTTTATCCTGTTTTTCTTTGCCTAATATATATAATGAAACTATTATCAATTGATATGATTAATATATATTTTTATTGATATTTATGGTTTGGGAATTTTCGTTTTAATATATTAAATAATATTATTTTTAACCATTTTTATCGTTTTACATTTGCTCCCTTATGTTATAATTTAATAAGTGGTTAGCATTTATTTAATGATACTTTAAGTCTGAAATATTTATTGGTTGTGGTATCTGATTGTCTATGTCATTGTCTGTGGATGTGTGTACGTGTATCTATCGGTGTCTATGTGTATTCACATTTAACTGTGTGTGTGTATAGGTGTTGGTTTCCCCGTTTCCTTTTTTCATAAAGGGCTGTAGAGATGTTCATGTCATGTGTGTATATATCTAATTATGTTTGGGTGCTTATGTATTATAATCTGATTGAGTTTTTGTTGTTTTGCGCGTGAGTTTAAAACCACATTCACACACTTTAAAAAAAAAATTTTTTTTAAATTTAAAAAAAATATATATATACATGTATTGTCAAATGACCGGATATATTGTAGCGTCTTGTCGAACGTAATTTCAATGAAGAAATGAATTGAATAAACATATATATTTTTTCTTTTCTCAATAATTTTGTAGTTTTTAAACTTAATAGTGATTAAATTTGGTTTTTAAAATTGCCAGTTTTTAATTTTAATATTAAATTTTATCATATAATTTTGTAATTATTGGTTAGTATAAATTATTTTTAATATTACACGTATTTTAAAGATCTGAATAGCTATTATAACATGATTTCGTTGTCAAGCTTTTGAATCTTTCTATACTTGGTTTTTGATTGGTTATTCTAGCTTTTTTGTAACAATGTTTCCCCTAGTGTAGGATCGTTAATTAATCTGAAACTTTTAAAACCATTTATTTTATTTTCAACATCATCACTTGATAAGACACAGAGTGTGTTGAAACAAAAATGGCTATTTTTGTAGTGATTTTATAACATACTTATGTTATAATTGTTTTATAAATAATAGTTATATATATATATATATATATATATATATATATATATATATATATATATATATATATATATAATGAAAAACAAACCACTTTTTAAGGTATCATTACAATAATTTATTTCACCAAAATCCTTTTTTAAATGACTCGGATCATCAGGTAACAATTCCAACAACGAAATGAAAGGAAAAATGGGATTAGACATTGATGGGTAGTGTAATTTTTGTAATTTAACAGCGGGGGGTGAGAGTTGTAGTTAAAGAGACAAGGTAGAGTATAGGGAGGGGTTAATTTCATATCTCTCTTAAGCATGCTTTATATTGGGGTAGGAGGAGTGACCGAACCTTGACCTATTTAACGGAAATGATATGTAGGAATGGGAGGGGAGAAAAGAAAAAGAAAAAAGAGAGGAGACAGACGTCAGTAATACCGATATATCCAAAAGAGTGTTACGGCAAAGAGAGAGGGGGAGAGGGAAGTGAATTGAAAGAGGCTGTAGTTTTGTTTTAACAAAATTATGTAAAAGATAGATTTCATCGCTTGATAGAAATTTAGATGTCTAAAAAATGATGAATGTTATCAATTTAAATATTTAATTTTATAAGTAAATAGTTTAGGGACTTAATATAAGTTAACTACTAATTTATTGAGAACATATTAAAGAAATATTTAAAATTATAATAGTTTATTTACCCGACCAATATTATTTTTACTTTTAATCTAATTTATGAATGCAATTTTTATTTATTATTATATGGGTAAACTTAATTAAGGTTGAGGTTTCATTATTTAATAATATTTGAGGGTAATATTAAAGATTTTGTTTTCTTCTTATATGTATCTCACAAACATATTCATGCAAATCCATATATGCATACGTTTATTAACATGCGCAAAACACACATTTACGGTAAGATTAATAGTCTTTGTCGAGTACGGCTGCATACTTTCAGATCTCTCTCTCTCTCTCTCTCTCTCTCTCTCTCTAAATACTATATCCCATATCCCATCTGGATATACGTGGTTATAGCTCACTGTGTTTTCTTTTTCCTTTTTAATATCTGTAGTCTGTTCATTGCCAGAAATTGTTGTTAATAAAAAGCGTATAGTGGTTGACTTTTGTCTTCAAACTTTTAAATGCAGAATTGTCATTTTTTTAAAACAAAGCTCAAAAGCACAGTCTGCCCTGCTATTTTACCCACTGCTGTGTGACTCCAATCAAATTTACGTCGAAGTAATGTCACAGTCTGTTATGGCATGTTATTTCTCTTCTTTTTTTTATCCCAGAAGCAGATAAATGTCGATTGGAACCAGACTCAGGCCCTTGCCAAGAAAGGAATATATTTTGGTATTATGACTACAAAATCGGGGTCTGCTCACGTTTCTTTTACACTGGCTGCGGAGGCAACGAAAACAGGTTTGCATCGGAAGAAATCTGCTTAACGTCTTGTAAGCCATTTATGACATTCACAACTCATGCACCACTGACCCAGAATTCTCTTACCGGTGAGTTCATGCCTTATACGAATCGTCACAGAAGCCACACACACACACACACACACACACACACACACACACACACACACATGATCACACCATTTTGCTATAAATCCCTAGCTGAGCAGCAATCTATAATTTGTCGAAATAAAATAAAACATGAGGGTGGACTGAAAAGTTTATAGGCTGACTTAGTCGATTTATTGCATTGCTTTAAAAAAAAACATCGCAAATGGCAACCAATCTGCTGCGTCTCATCTGTTTTTAAATATTTGATCGGCGGTGTATCTAGGGATGAATCGGCATTATTTAAATGTGGATCAAAATGTCACTCTCCGGCCTTTCGCCTAGGATCAGTATAATATCTGTCCACTGTAGTTAACATATTTCAACATTTATTTTATCAGGCTGTTCAAGCAGGAGAATGCTGGCATAGGGGAGATTCTATTTGCCTATTTACATCTCAGTCGAGCGTTTGAATCAGAGCAGATGATTCACTTGCTAATTTTATACATCTTTTTTGACAGAAGTTGCAGAGAAACAAAGAAATATACAGAAAAAAATACGCTATTCATTAGTAGATACGACTATAACTTCTACTGGAGTTGAAATGTAAATAAGGATAAGTTCTTTTCAACCTTTTAGGACATAAACCTCCGCAAGATGAAATTAAAACGGGATAGCAATTGGATATACGCCATTCTGACTCACAATGCACGCTGTATTGGCAAGGAGTCTTAGGTTTGAAATTCTCCGTCCCTCCTACACAAGTTGACATCTTAGGCTAAGTAGTGTAATCTAACTTATTATTTTCTCATAGCTTAGAAAAGGAAGATTTGTCTTCTTCAAGGCTATTCGTGCGAAAAAAATACCAACTTGTCTCAGTCAGAATTTGAACTTGTATAAGTCCTCAGACTTATGGTCACGGTAAACCAAAAAGAATAGTCAGTAATTCTGATTATAATTGTAGTGGTCATGACCCCTCTTCAGGGATACTTTTCTTTTTCTTTTTAATGATTTAATTACTTTGTAGAGGGAAAATATATTAAAAAAATTATACTGAATTTAAAAATTCTTTTTAAATTTTCAGGAAATCACAACAATAAGTTCAGGACTATTCACGTCACTCCAAAAGAGACACTAACTTTACAATGTGGCGAACTGTTCGATAGTACTGGAGGAGGAAATCAAGTGACTTGGACACATGAAGGGTGAGTAACGAAGACACCTGAAAGTTGATAAACACCTGTCATTCTAGATGTAAATTTAATTTTACGATCTTTGAAATTCATTGCCAATCCCGTGGTGACGTTTTAGAAATAATGTATTTTTTAAGTGTACATTTAATATTACAGTATTATGGAGTTGGACTATATACAGGGTGCGATGGATAAATTGTCATCTAAATTACGCAAAAGTGAAAATAATAATGACATCTCATTTTAACATATATATTTACCAAAATTACACAAAAATATCTTGAAATAGTAAAGAGTAAATTTATTCAATTATTATTTTACTCTTCGGGGCGATTTTCTTGTTGAAGTTAGTGAATGCTGCCGTAATCCTTGCCTTCACTTCATCTTTACAAGGAGTTTTGTTGGCCTCTCGCTCAACTGCGCCCTACACATTTAATAATCCGGGGGGGGTGCAGTCTGGAGAGTTAGATGGCCAAATGTAAGGGGTGATGTGGTCTAAGAAATTGTCTGATAGCCTCAACTGGGATCTCCTGATGGTGTGAAATGATGCAGAGCCCTGTTGCCAGCCATAGAGTCATCTAATAGCCATCCTTTTGGACAAGGGCAGCACTACCTCCTCAAGACACTTTGTTGTAGGCCTTCGTGTTGAGTCTGAGGCCCTGTGAGAAGATGAATGGAGGCATAACGTCGCCATCACTAGTGATCACTCCAAATACCTTCGTAATCACCATTAGAATCATCCAACTCTTTCTGAATCTTCTGCACCGTCCTCAGATTGACACCCCAAAATTCTGAAATGTTCATATTGGTGCTTCCGGCGCGAATACCAAGGAGTAATGCATGCTGATTCCCAATTTACGGCGGAATGAACTGCGCCATGGTGCTCTTTTACTCACAGACAAAATAAAATCAACAACGCGCATGCGCGAAATTAAAAATAAAAAATGGAGACAATTTACACACTGCACCCTGTACAAGGGCTGCTTGTCTACAGCGACATTAGTCTAATTGATAATTCAGCTTTTCACATAAGACTCGCGGGATATTTATTAGATTTTTTTTATTTTTACAAAAATACGGAATTTTATATGTCAATAAATTAAGTAGCTATTTTCAAAAATGTTCACTGATCTCTTTGCATTGCACAACTTAGATCAGTCTGTTTCTGTCCATATAGCTTTCAAAATAGTCAAGATGCTATTTTGCTTACTAATTTCTGAATTTGGTAGTGTGATTATATATATATATATATATATATATATATATATATATATATATATATATATATATATATACTCACATACATATATATATTTGATCCGGAATTTTACTGAGAATTTTCTTGAGTTCAATTGCTCTTTGATAAAAAAAGTGATCTCTATTAAGAGGTGAAAGAAATAAGAATCAAAACTAAATAGTATAAAAAAAAATGGAAAGAGAAAAAACAATGGAAAATATAAAAATGGAATGTGTTCAGTGAAATGAGTTCCCTGAATCTTAGTTCTGGACGTGTTATTTTGAACTCTTCAAATTCATTAAGTCCTTCCAGTTTTAGTAAAGTTTATCTATTTTATTATAAATTTCAGATTTTATCAGCAATGCTTTCACAAAATCATAAGACACATATCACAAAATATATGACAGAAAATTAAAGGTTCGAACAAGAAGACATGGCAGCAGCACAAACATTACGAGCAGCTTTTTGCAAGATTGAAGCTGTGTACGAAGGGGTTTGCTTATGATTTTGTGAATAGAAAAAAAAATGAAGTGATAGAAGTTGGGTGGTGGGGTTGGATTATCATTGATAGTAATTCATCGAGTCTAGAAGAATCCTCAACAGAATGCAGAAAGTAATTAACGGCCATTTCGTCCTATTTGGGACTCATCAGTAGTGCGCAGATCAGCTACAACCGAAAATCGAACCCGGACCGTTACGATACAAGACAAGCGAGCCTCGGTGACGAAAACTGACTAGATTCGATATAGCGCCGCTACTCACTAAATTCCGGTGGTGATTCTCATCCAATTATACGTAACCCAACATGGATTGTGCCCCAAGAGCCATGTCTTCTTTCCACAAGCCGCTCCCTCCAGAGCATTAAAAGCTGGATCAAGCAAGGATATATATACAAGTGTTAGAAGATTTTGGCGGGAGTATTTGAATAATTATTGATAGTAATTCATCTAGTCTAGAAGAATGCTCAACAGAATGCAGAAAGCACTGGACGGCTGTGTGACGGTTACACACCTGGCCCAGGGTCGGATCCTTTGGTTACGGCGCCAACGGTGACGTCGCTCCTCCTGGTCGCTCCTCCTGGGTCCAAGCGTGCCGCTCCAACCCCTTGGTCAGATGATCACCAGCCTCGCCTTTCCCGACTCGCTTCCAATACCTGGTCACTAAAGCAACTGTACCGATCTCCGGTCTGTCTACCCACGCTGTGTTTAGATCTTAGACAGACGGGACCAGCAGGGATTGGGGCCGATACAAGTTGAGTCCGACGGGGGTGGCAAAACACAAATAAAATAGAAAATAAACTCACGAGACAAAAAGATTGCTGATGAAAAAAATTGGGTAACAACCCTTTATATCTTAATGTCCGCTACATAAAAACAAAATTGTTCTCATTTCCCGACCCGCTCTGTGCACTATGGCACCAAGCTTCTATCACACAACCTAAAGATTTCGAATTGCCTACTCTTTAGAATTGTGTATGTCGGAGTGTGGTTTGGTTCGACACTGGGGCTAATTTCTATCGATCATTCGCAGTTGATTCTTCTCTCCGACTTGAGTTGTATTTCTTCTTCGTCGACTTAGGCTGGAAGTTCTCTTGTCTTCGACTTGGGTTGTATTTCTTCTTCTTCGTCGACTTAGGCTGGAAGTTCTCTTGTCTTCGACTTGGGCTGGAAGGATCTCTTGCCGCAACTCAGCCGCAACTCTCTGTCGTGGAGGTGATCTCTTCTCGCTGCCGTCCGGGGCTGAACTCTTCTGTCTTCGACTTGGGCTGGAAGGATTTCTTGTCTCAACTCAGCCGCAACTCTCTGTCGTCCGAGGTGATCTCTTCTCGCTGCCGTCCGGGGCTGAACTCTTCTGTCTTCGACTTGGGCTGGAAGGATTTCTTGTCTGAGGATTCTTTTGCCCGCAAAGGGGCGAGTGAATCGGGCCCGATGCCCGCGTTCAGGCTCTTTCCCTGCCCGCGGTCCAGCTGCAACTCCACTCCAACTGATTTCTGTCGACTGGGGTCCTGCTTTTATTGACGCCGCAACAAACTGGGGTGGGTCTGTCGGCGTCAGGGGTTTTCTCGATAATTCCAATAGCCGCATTAATTCTGTTTCCCCATTATCGCTATTGTTTTCACCCCTACTTCCTCATAGTGCTTTTGGTGGGGAGGCGCATATCCATCTCTCTCGGTCTCTCGTATGTCAGGTGACCGCTTTCGACTAATGAGATTCTGATCGAGCATTTCTTTCTTTTTTTTCCGCAGCCACGTGACCGTTTTCGGCTAATGGGATTCTGGTTGAGCATTTCTTTCTTTTCTTTTCTGCAGCCACGTGACCGTTTTCGGCTAATGAGATCCTGATTGGGCGTTTCCTGCAATCAATCGGGGCGGGCTTATATCGTTCTTGTTCTAAAAAAAACAAAATCTAATTTTCCTTTTTTTTTTTTCGCACGTACGAAAAATGACCATCTTGGCCTTCTCTCACCTGGACTTTGTCAAACAGCCCGCCGCTAATTAGACTTGACTTCAGAAAGGATCTTTTCCGCCTTCTTGGCGCCCTCTGTGAGCCAAAAGCAATTGTCCCTCTTTTACCTCTTTGTTTTTCCTGATAGTCAAAAATCTTAATTATCTACATTGAAAATGTCTCCACTTTATTATTGTGGGGTTCTAATTTTTAACAGGTCAGAGCCTGTATACCGTTCCACCGGTCCTCCCCTCAACCCAAAAGACACTTTTCTCTGATTAAGATTGTTTCATTGTTCCCAAAATTTCTCTTTATCCAAATTGATAAGGTGTCTTTCCATGCAAAAGTAGGCTAGGTGCTTTGACCGATATCTGGCTTCCATCAAGCGGCCCGTTTTGATATCATGTCTTTTTTCCCTTTCTTTCTTCTTATTATTTCTAATTCTATTCTTCCAATTGTCTTTAAAAAAAATTCGGTCAACATGCTAGCTAAGATATCTTTCTGACTCGTGTTTTTGTTAATGACCGCTTTTTTGTATTTCTCGACCTCTCTCTTTCCCCTTCCTTCTTCTTCCCTTAGGATCGTCCAAGTACAATCTTAGTGAATTATTTTCAACTCAATTATTTTCCGTTTTAAAAAAAATCAACAACCTGTTTAGTAAACCGAGTAAGAAAAAATTAAATCATATTTCTATGAATATTTCTAATAATGCAAGGTGCCACAGCTGTTTCATCCTATATTTGGGATTCATCAGCAGATGAAGCAGAGGACGAAACGGCCGTCCAGTGCTTTCTGTAGTCTGTTGAGCATTCTTCTAGACTCGATGAATTACTATATATATATATATATATATATATATATAGATAGATATATATATATATATCATAATCAAAGCGATGATCTAGGGCATAAAATAACGCGTTTAGGCATTTGCGAGAAAACACTATTTGTACTTTCATGCACATTTTTGTGGCCACAATTTGGCACCAAAAGATTTCAAGTAACAATACGAACTGTAACTATATCTGCAATGATCATTCACATTCGCCATTACTACAGAATAAATTTTTCTAAAGTCCAAATTTTTCCAGCATTTCTTTAATTCGCGGGAAAGTTCATCTTCTGTGTTAACTTTTCTATTACGGTCACGCTTGTCCATTATCGCCCAAAGGTTTTCAATTGGGTTAAGGTCTGGACTCACTAAAGAATTTAGTTTATACCATGCCACATAGAATTAAGACCGTTATTAAAGCAAAAGGTTACTCAACAAAATATTAAATCATTTTTTGACTTGTATAATGTATTAATTACCCTATATTAATGAACAAATTCTATTACTCACTTGTCTTGCTAAAAATACAAAAAATCGACTTGCTTTGAGTCCGTCGATTTTTTTTTTGCCTCGTACTGTATATATGTTTTTGTACCTTTGGTATTTTTTAATTAAATTTGCAGTATATTGTTGAACTGTTAGGTTACCAGATGTACAGCAGATGCAGCAACAATGCATCTAGTGCAAGATAGCCTAAAAGAGTCTACTGTTCCTTTTTAAGGCGGATTGATTTTAATTCAGTTATCTTTCGACTTGAATAAGTAAGATTAAAGGGCCCAATCAACACTATTTTACTCATAGCTTAGCGTAGAAAAAATAGACGCATAGATTTCCTGGGTAGATTAGTGTGAAATTGATAATCGCAAATAGCATTCGGCAGAATACGAACTCGACTTATCGCTTCCATTTCCCTCGACGATAACCATCTCGCCAACCTCTTCACTAACAGTAGGATTAAGGATTAATTTCCTGTAAATTCTATTTATTTTTTATTTTTATTTTTTAATTATTTTCAGCCAAGATATTTCCCCAAGTGTTCGTCGCCAAATACAAAAACTTAATTTGGTTGTCTATAACGTGAGTAACAAAGATACTGGGATGTATACCTGTCGAAAGAAGAGCAACACAGTTACACCAACATTAGATAAATATCAAGTTGTCATTAAAGGTAAGTGCTACAAAAATGTTGTAAAACGTCACCATTATCATTAGTGGGATATAGCTGACCAAGACGGATTTCCACTGACCCAGCCAGATTTACGATCTATAGATCATGCATATGAGCTTTCCTATGGGACTGAAAATTCAGTTCAATTCTCATACATTAGGCTTTGTGTCACATCTAAGCTGCACTTGGATAACCGCCATTTGCAATTCGACGTGGTGTAATTGTTAGCGAGTTTGTTACGCTAGATCAATTACGATTGAGTAGTGAGGTTGATCCACACTGGGTGCTACTTATTTTTGGCCTTGTGGCATATTTAAGCTATGCTTGGATAATCACCATCTGCACTTCGGCATGGTGTAAGAGTTACGATTCGTAAATTACTAGAACCATTTCATTGTATTCGAATTGCCTTTCATTTTAACTGGCTTGGTTTACTTGCGGCCATTTTCTGTCTATACCGATTTTCGACACTCATATCAAAAACAGTATTTTTATGGTTTATGACATATTGTGTTATCAACTTTCTTGTTTTCCTGTCCAGATGTTTAATTTCCTTGTTAAACTTGTTAATTTTCTGTTATATTAACATCCCTTATGTGGGCAATGTGTAACTTTCATCGCAATATTTGCTGAATAAAGAGATATCCAATAGCAACGGCACATAAATCCATAGATTGGATTCTGTATAAAATGCGGTCAATAGCGAAACATTACTGAAAGCATAAACGATAAAATGACGGATGATTATAACAATGTTGAGTGAAATTCTGTTGTTGTCAAGGTTAGTAAGCAGTTTTCTCATACTTTCCAATAATCGTTGCTCGATAAAACAACTTCATCGGAACAATATTTCAATCTGCACAAAGTATCCAAAGCATATATCATTAAACTGCTTGTTGAAATACCCGTCCACGCTGAGTAAAAAGTCAAACATTGATCGTAGTTCTATTTAATGACAATAAAATGATTTTAGCCCTGGAATGGCGAACTGGTAAGACTTTGTCAAAATCAAGTTATGGGAAATTAAACTGTTGGATATTCCAAAAAATTAAACGGACAAATTAACTATTTGTCAAAAGGAATTATATGATTAAAAGATGCTCAACACAAATTCATATAACGAAAGGGCAGAACAATTAAAGTCTAACTTACTGCCTGACGAAAGCAGAAAGGGGCGAAACCGCGAAAGTGTAAAGATTGGTTTTCCTGTAAAATTTTATTGTGTGTGTGTGTGTGTGTGTGTGTGTATTTGCAGGATGTATAATATTATCCAAAACAAAATCGAAGATGTTTAGACAAAATGGGAAATTTTTATTAAACACGCATTTCGCTGGAGAAACGTCTGCTCTCTTTGGCTTCCTCGGATTAAAATGAAAGACAGATTAAACTGTGTGTGAGTAAAATATCTTGGAATCTCAGAGGATAAGTGTGCATCATAATTCAAATTAATTACCGTAGCTTATCACTTCCTGATTTCCAAGTTTGGAGAGTGTCTTCCCGCCTGTGTGTTTGTTTGTTTTATCTATATATGTATTACATTATATTGGATTTTAAATCAGAGATTTATATACATATATATATTTTAATATATTTTATCATTAAACGTTATTTATATAACGCTATTTATATAGACACAAATATTTAAGTAAATTCTCTTTTTATAATAAACAGTATTAACAACATTTACTGGTTTGAATGTCCGAGAAATTTCATAGAAAATATGCCTCCTCCGACAGGAATCGAACCTGTATCCTACACGGAACCGTCATATAGCCTGACGTGCTATATCAGTTTAGCTACGAAGGTCGTTTCTGGTTAGCAGGGTCGACTTACTGCTTTTAAACTACAAATTTCCCATGATTTCGCTCGAACACTCATATCTGCTCGAAGCGTATCATAACGTAAACAAATGACGTCATATATTATGAAATGGACTAAGACCGACAATTATTTTAATATATTTTATTGTTATACGCTATTTATATAGACACAAATATTTCAGTAAAGAGCATTTACTTAAATATTTGTGTCTATATAAATAAGGTATAAGAATAAAATATATTAAAATAATTGTTTGTCTTAGTCCATATTTATATATATATATATATATATATATATATATATATATATATACATACATACATTACCGCAGTGTTGACACAGTCATATATTATATTTTAAATGCTAAATATATTTTAAAAAAATATAAAATGGTAATCCCCGTATAATATATGACTGCGCCAACATTGCGGTAATGTTTATTAAATGTAAATTACTTGACAGTCAGTCTATACACAGCACCTGAAGATTATGTTGTGCATAAAACTCCAAGTTGTGCTACTGGTGAGGGATAAGATGTGTATTTATTAATATATAGTTAATTCTACTGTTTTATTACATCAACCAATGTTTTATTAACACCAGCACTACATGTGCAATATATTATATTTATATTCATAACCGGGTCAATTTCTACTTAAACCACTCTTCTAAAATTAAATCTGGTATTATTATAGGTTTCTATTTGAGAGCTTTAAGAATCTGCAGCCCCCAATATTTACCTAAAGAAGAAACGTACATAGAAAACACATTCTAAAACCTACAATATCCATGTCATTTCATCCACAACGCAAGAAGAAAGGTATACAAAATATCCAACTGCAACAAAAATAACATCATCCGTAATAATAAATTATATGAGAACAGATACATAATACTACTGACCAATTCCGTTACGTCCACTATCCAGACCAACCTATCCCATCTAAATAATCTCAAAATAATCCCAGACACTTCCAAAACCATTTTGGATATAATCAGATCCTCAAACACCCATAGCAATAATATTTGTGAAGCAGCCATGCATAAAATAAGTTTACAAAACTGTTCCTCGCAATACATTGGAGAAACATGAAGGAATTTGAAAAGTTGTGAACAAAAAAAAGAAAATAATTTACTCAGAAGGAAAATCTTTGAGAGTGCCGCCATTGAATATTATCCAAATATTAATCTACGCGCAGGTTTTTTTCCAATCTCACCTTTCCTAACAGAATCACTACTCTCCTAAGCCAACAACAAAAAAAAACAATAAATATATCAAGAAATCAAAAGAGAACGGTTGAATCCGACAATACAATACAAACAAGATTTCTAAATATATATATATATATATATATATATATATATATATATATATATATATATATATATATAAGATTTCTAAACGTAATGTATATATATATATATATATATATATATATATGTATAGGGGCAGCAGATCATTATTCAAATATATATTGTTAAATATAACAGAAAACAAACGTCTATTATGTTTGATCATGAGCCGTTCTAAGATTCATATAGTGGCTTTAGTTTCAGGAGAAAATAAAGACATTTGGATGTTTTTATTTAATATGCTGTTCCTCGATGTAAGCTTTCAGCTCACATGAACCATCATCAGAGTGGTTAATGGACATTACAACAAAGATATTCTCCATCAAAGCTGACTTTCTGTTATGTTTACATAGAAATTTGCTATGCGACGATAACGGTCGCGGAATAGCACACGCAGGTCGTAAATTCGTAATGCACGAAGCTTAGAATGGCTCATGATTAAACATAATAAACATTCATTGTCTGTTATATTTAACAATACATGTTTGAATATCTATATATCTATCTATCTATCTATATATATATATATATATATATATATATATATATATATATATATATATATATATAAGATGACAATTGGAAAAAATCCAATTTTAAAAAAGAGAGATGCTTCTGTCTAAGCCTCTTTCTGGTTAATGTAAATTTCCTTTATACTAAGAGTAAAAGAAAACTCTTAGTATAAAGAAAATTGGATTTTGTAATGTAAGTATAACAACAAAAACATTTCGATTTCATTTTTGCCTTAAAAAGGTCAGAAGATGAAACGCGTCGTCAGAAAAACTAAGATTTTTTTTTCCAATTGTCATCTTATACCAATTTGTTTTGTCCACAAAATTGATCTGGGAATTTATATCCTAAATCGAATTTAAGCCCTATATTATTATCCCAATCTTCAAAATTGATTTTCGGATAATTTAATAACATTCTTAAAAATAATAAATATTTTTGACTGAACTTAGGATTTTTTCTCTTCTCAACTTATTTTCATTCAGTGCCAGCGACGATAGAATATGGTGCATCACATATGACAGCACTTCCGAACCATCGACTTGCAATTCCTTGCCAGGCTCATGGGGTTCCCAAACCGCTGATTACTTGGTACAAAAGTGGCCAACAAATACACAACGATAATCATTACCACGTCTTCGACAACGGCACATTACTTATTGACCCTTTTATCTCCAATGATGTTGCTACATACAAATGCTTGGCTAGAAACGATTATGAGGGAAAGGCTGAAAAGGAAGTCATAGTTACTATTCAAGGTAAGTACTGATCTATTTTTCTACATACTTCTTTGCACACACACACACACACACACACACACACACACACACACACATATATTATGAAATAGACAAAGTCCGACAATTATTTTAAGAGATTTTTTTATGTTTATACGTTCTTTTTATAGATACAAATATCTCTATAAAAATTTCTATAAAAATTTCTCGGACATTCAGGCCGGTAAATGCTGTTAATACTGTTTATTATAAAGAAAACATTTACTTAAATATTTGTATCTATAAAAAAGAATGCATAAAATAAAATGTCTTAAAACAATTGTCGGACTTTGTCCATTTCATGTGTGACGTCATTTGTTTACATTTGGATACGCATCGAGCAGATATGAATGTACGAGAGAAAATCATGGAGAATTGTAGTTTAAAAACAGTAAAATCGACCTTTGCTAACCGAAACGCTCCTCTGTGGCTCAATCGGTAAAAATACGTCAGGTTATATGACGGTTCTGTATAGGATACAGGTTCGATTTCTGTTGGAGGATGCATATTTTCTTGGACAGTTTCTCGGACATTCAGGCCGGTAAATGTTGTTAATACTGTTTATTATAAACAGAGCCTTTACTTAAATATTTGTATCTATAAAAAGAATGTATAAACATAAAAAAATGTCTTAATATATATATATATATATGAGTTAAATGTTAAATGCAGAACAAATATGGCTCGGAATCCGACAGGATGATAAAATAAAAAACAAATAGGAAACGTATATCTATCTAACATGTTTCACTTTTATTAAAGCTTCGTCAGAGATTGAGAGAAAACGGGCAAAAAGACAACTTGTAGGTTATTAGTTATTTTGCACTTATTATCCCCTTTCCCCGCAGATGAAACGTTGATCGCCTCTCACTACTCTTTCGATATCGCCATGGCAGATGTTCAGTTGGAGTGGCGGTTACTTAAATTCACATAGTCGGAGCACCAGGGGTTAAAGAGCAGTTGCCATGAGAAAGTGGCTGCAGTCGATATATCAAGTCAGGATTGATTACATTGTAAAGCTTTCTTTGCATTTAAGCGTGTTATGCTTATATAGCCATGAAATTGAGATTCTGTATAAATTTTAATTAACATAATTTCCAACATCATAAACTACTTCTTTCTCCTTTGAAATTTCTGTTGATTCTGTTTCGTTCACTTCATGCTAATTAACTTAGAAAATGCATGAATTGATCTTCCTCCTCGTTTCTCAGCCGGTGCCGCCGGCCGAACTAATGCGCCCTGAAATGTGCCCAGGTGCGTCCCAAGTTAACAGAAGAGTAATTTATGAATCATTTTTAAATCGCTAAAGACATCAAGTAATGTGATGTCTTAAAAATAAATGCTTATTTCAGGAGACTTCTTCATTATTTTCCTACTGCAAATTTCATGACTAATATTTCCTAAGTGAGCTTCAGAGTTTTAGTTATTCCACAAATGTGCGACCCAGAAGTAAAAAAGGGTTGAGAAACACTGTAAAGCAGACTAGACTCTTTTGCTTTGGTTGTCAACCAATCTAGGAGAAGAAAAAAAACACTGAATTCAAAACTTGTCTTTCCGTGAGGTTTTGTCCTTAGGTTTTGACGGGGCGATTAAATTCTTTGACAACAGAACATAAGAGCAGTTTAGGGGTTTCCAGACACACTGGGCACTATTCCTCTATTATCAATTCATTAGAATGGTGTAGCGGTTTCGACTCAAGCCTTCACCACTATAATTAAATTAGATGTGAGGATAGTTTTGAACATTTGTGCCTTAATACATCGAAATCAACGGATGAATCCATCATTAAGCGCTATTTATTATATGTCACTGACTAATCCGCAAACAGCCATCAATATTTTATTGTAGAGGGTGAAGAAAGGCAGATGCATGGAACAAGCATAGAGAGAGAGCTCACTGTAACTTATATGAATTTAAAACAGTAATATAATAGTTTATATGAATAGTAATATGAATTTAAAACAGTATTAAAAAGAAATAAAACAAAAAATAAATCATTACAAACCTGCAATATGTTTAGGGTTAGACCTACTTTCCGAGTACCTCTTCAAATGGGGCAGCAAACTTTTACAGTTGGCTTGGCCGTCTATCTATGAAAAGAAAAATCCTAAGAGAAATCCTACGAAATGAGCGCCTTTCGACATCGTACAATCTCGCTGAACAATGGCTGTTTTAAAGAACGGGATCAGTATTCTGTGTCTCGTGTACCCAATTCAAGCATGAATGTAGCGTTGGTAGACCCCCGCCCTAAATCTTCGTGAAGTGATAGATGTGAATAAACTCTACTAAACATTTAATGAAACCACCGGCTTCCAAATTTGATCTTTAAACTCTTTGCTGAAACGCCTTTTTTTTCAACTCTTACTTTTCAAAGTATACAAAGATCGAATTTTCGTCTATTCGTCCTTAGCTGCATTTTTTAACCAATTTAATTTCAGAGTCACTAAATCTGGAAATCAAAAAGAGCAGTCGAAATCTCCACGTAGGAGATAAAGTAACCCTGACTTGTACGGCTGATGGTTATCCTAATACGCGATTCCAATGGTTCTACAAAGACCGAGAACTTTACACCAACAATCGAATCACAGTTACAGACGGCATCCTCATTATCAGGAACGCCACCTATGACAACACCGGCATCTACACTTGCCGAGGAACACACGCCAATGAACAAGTCAACAAAGACGTGAGCGTTCGCATTTTATCCATGCGTATGTATTAAATTACTGGTTCATTTTTTTAAAATGTCGGTTGTTCCGGAAAACCATAACCCAACCCTGCTGTTTCCTTTTTCCCATATTTGTTTCCATTTTGCTTAAATTTTATATTTTCTTGATTTCAAATGAAAACTTGGAAAGTTTCTAACATATTTCATTGAAATATTTCTCTTTTCAAATTTATAATTCATAAATTTATAGTTTAAATCGGTCATAAAGCCAATCTGTTATGAGATTGCTGTCAGGGCGGCTATCAATACAAATGTAGAAGTGGACACACCAACGTTTCATAAACTGCACCAACGCATTTGATAAGTTGCATCACATGGATCTATTTGAACTGTTAGTAAAATTTGATATATTTGCGAAATATATTAGAATAATGTAGAACATTTACTAGCAGTTACTAAGAAAAACAGCCTACATGCCAATAGAAAAATGAATTGAGTAAGTACACAAAAATTAGAAAAAGGCGTAATCTCAACCTGTTCATATAAGTCGATCTATCTCACTCTAGAAAAATAGAAATACAGCAACCTGAAAGAACTTCAGAAAAGAAGAAAAAAAATTCAATAAAACATTGAGTTACGGAGAATATTTTCCTAAAATTTTAAGATTACTCGGTAGTTAAAAATCATATAAAAAAGGCGCTCACGTTATATTCCTCAAGTAAGTTTTACAGATATGTCTCTGTAGAAAAAAATAGATAAACTTCCAGCTGTCAATCTATGAACACCTAATCAAAGCACCTACCTCTCTATTAAAAATGCATTTATGCGATATTTTAAACTAAAAGTAATATTTCTTTTCTCTGTGATTTTTATCGCTTCAAAAAATTCTTCCAGTCAATTTAAATTAGTTTTGAAATACAGCAAAGTATTTTGCTTATTGGAAATAATAAATTTAATCTATTAGCTTGAAATTACAACTAAAATAAAAGCTTCACGAATGATATTTCATTTTTAAAATTCCATTTCAAAACTTAGTTATCGCGTTTCTGTGGAGGTATCTATCTATCAATCTATCTATCTATCTATCTATCTATCTATCCATATATATATATATGTGTGTTTGTGTGTGTGTGTGTGTGTGTGTGTGTGTGTGTGTGTGTGTGTGTGTGTATTTAGGCAGTAATCCTTCTTTCATGCACATTTCATTGAATACGACAGACAAGGTGCTTTTATTTAGTTTTTTATACAATTTCTCATGTTATCTAATATTTTTTTTCTTTTCGGATGATAAATTATATAAAAACTGTCCTAATGTTCTTTATATTCGAGCGCTTTCGGCAATACATTTAGCCATTTTCAAGGATTAAATATTTTAACTGTTAATATTATTAAGTGTTGGTTTTTTATACACACACACACACACACATACACACACACACATATATATATATATAGAGAGAGAGAGAGAGAGTGAGAGAGAGATAGTTTTTAAATTTTACTTATTATAAAACGCAGATTGTGTGTGTGTGTGTGTGTGTCTGTAACGTTTATATATTGGATCGAATTTCCTACATTTTTTAGCCGATTTCAACAAAACTTCACAGGACTACATAAAATTACCTTGTGATGGTTCTAACGGCGCCGAAAATGGGAAAAACAAAATTGTTTTTTAACAAAATCAATTTGAAAACACGATTAAGACACATCGTGAGAATGAAAGGGGACAACTCACCCACGAAAATGTAAACAAAAGAGCATAGCATGATGAAAAAAAAGCCGAACTTGACGAAAACAAAATTTTATCGTCTAATGTTCATATTATTATTAAAGAGGAAAGATCAAAGTATTTTGGGGGTATTTTTTTACATTTTTCAATCGTTCCTAGCACGTCTGAAATTTTCGTTAAAAATATTGTTTCTTTTTGGTCAAAAAAAAGGACAGATAATAAATTATTTTCAATCATATTTTTCGATTTGATAAAAAAGATTAAAATCTGACTTTAATATTCTTTTAAAAATCAATTATCATTTTTTCAAAACAGAAATTATACTGTTTATTTAAAATATTTTGAACCAAGCTTAACTTAGCTTCTGCGCCGAAAAAATGTAATTTGAAAATAAAACAAAACAGGTCATAACCTTTCGCGTCGCTTGACGATTGACGAAAGGCACATTCATGACGTTTAGATAACTTACGGGTGGATAATTCTTTCTACGGATGGAAGGAAGTGAAATTATTTAAGTGAACAAATTATTTACCTTGTTACTTTTAAGGAAAACTTTCAGCGCTCTAATTTTTTTTTTTTTTTTTTTTGTACTTAGCTTTCATTTTTACGTTTATTAACAGTCTTATTTTTTAATTTCTTTATATTTTCCATAAAGCATCGTGCTTTATCGAAAATATAAAGAAATTAAAAAATAAGACTGTTAATAGTGAGATTAAATTTCATAAGAAAAAGGTATCTAATTAATTTAGGTACCTTTCTTATGAAATTTTATCAGAAGTGTACATAAAATACTATAATTTTATGTACATTTATTACATTTTACTGTGTTATTTGTATTTCCATTCATTTTATTATTAATTTTGAGATTTCATTTATGGAAAAATGTCATAACTGAGATTAATATAAAAATAAGATCATATAAATTAAAGTTTAGCAGTAATTAAATTTCATAAGATGATACTGTTACTTGTAGTTACCCTTCTCAGTTGAAATTGAAAACTCAAATTAACTTCTCCATACGTGTTTCGCAAAAGTAAAGGGCTTAACAGTGGAGAACAATGCTGAACTCAAATAATGCAACTAAATTGTATTCTGGTTGGTCTTCCGTACTTGATAATTACTGTCCGACTATAAACACAAAAATTACATTTCTTAATTACCATGGCTAATCTGATTGGTCCAAATTATTCAATTTTCAAAGCGCTAGACAATGACAATCTCACACGGACATTTTGAAAGGTTGATGTTGCTTTTTAACTAATGTTAAAATATTTTTAAAAATTCAATTTAAAATTTTTTAAAAATCTTTTTAAAATTAAAGAAATAAGAAATAATTGTATTAAAAATTCAATTTTCATTGAAAAAATTTTTGCTTTCAGAAAATATTGTCCATATTCATAAAACAAATTAAAACAAATAAAAGCATTTGAAACTAAATAATATATTTGTTTTATTGAGTTTTGTATGTTACAATTCACAGCTGATTTTCAGGTACGTTGGCCAAAAAAAAACAACAAAAAAAACATGATTTGCATTCTTCAAAGCCTTGTGCTTTTAACTATTGTAATCACTAAAACCGATGGTCTTGAATTTCTAGAGATTTTCATAAAATTAGTTATGGGGTGTTAATAAATATAAAAAAAATATTTCTGCCATGACTTTTAAAAAAAAAACATATTTATAATAATTTCGATCATCTGTGAATAGTTTCTGAAAGTTTTATTAACATCTGACAATTATTTTTATTTTTGCAAGATTTTCCAAATTAATGTGTGTAAATACAAAAAAAAACGCTCTAAAAATTATGTATGTTATTTACTACCCCTTGTTGCGACAAAGAGAAACAAGGTTTTTAAATCAAAATTTAGAATATTCTAAAAAGATGGAAAATTTTTTAAAAATAATTAAAAAATTTTAGTCTATCCTCTTCATAAAATCATAAGCATTTTGACGATAAAATTTTGTTTTCATAAACTTTGGCGTCTTTTTTCATCAGACTATGCTCTATGTTTTAGCGATTTCGTGGAGTGACTTAGGTTAAAAACCCAGTGTGTGTGTGTGTGTGTGTGTGTGTGTGTGTGTGTGTGTGTGTGTGTGTGTTCCTTTATATATGGGATCGGATTTCTTACATTTTCAGCCGATAAAACAAACATCCACTTTTTTTTTTGGCAGGTAGTATTTCTTATTGTCTTGCACACTTTTTTCTTTATTTATACATTCAGAATGCTTTAAAAATTCCATTTACAAGACAATTGTTTATAATAAAATTCTAATTCTATTCAATCGGGGGACTCATCATAACGATATTGAAACAATGTTTTTGTTTGAGTTTGACCAATTCGTAAAAAAAAAAAAACTAAGACATGCGTGTCCGTCAACCTAAACAATAATCTAACGATCTCAAGGCAGATCAATAAGGCATTGGTTCTATTTGAAATTAATTCAATATTTAAAAGAAAGTATTAAGAAATAATTTAAAAATGCCGACGTAAGAAATCCGATAGACAAAAAACAACAATATTTCGAAGATGATAATTATTAAGGAAACACAGTACTTGTAATAAAGTAATAAACCCAAATAAAGTTAATATTTTTTGTATTAGAAACAACGAGTGGAAAATATATTCAAATCAGAATTCTAATTATGAATCACCACAAGCAAAATATGCATTTTTTTTTACTGTATTCAATAAGTAAAAATCATAAATTGTAAAAGATTACAGAGAAAGGCTACCTACATTTTTCAACCGATTTCAACAAAACTTCACTTTTTTTTGGCAGGTAGTGTTTCTTATTGTCTTGCACATTTTTTTCTTTATTTATACATTCAGAATGCTTTAAAAATTCCATTTACAAGACAATTGTTTATAATAAAATTCTATTCATCAATCGATAGACTCAACGATTGTAAACAATGTTTTTGTTTGAATTTGGGTTTGACCAATTCGTAAAAAAAAAAAAAAAAAAAACTAATTAAGACATGCGTGTCCGTCAACCTTAAACAATAATCTTTGTCAATTTTATTTTTCAGTCTTTATGATGGTCGATACTTGATCTATCTCTTACTGTTACATCCCCTGGCAACGCCGGGCTCTACTGCTAGTATGCTATATTTATTATTTATGGGTCAAAGTTTCTCTCTCTCTCTCTCTCTCTCTCTCTATATATATATATATATATATATATATATATATAGATAGATAGATAGATAGATAGATAGATAGATAGATAGATAGAACTTTAACCCATAAATAATAAATATATATATTTAAAAATCTCTCTTTTCTCTCTCTCTCTCTCTCTATATATATATATTTATTTATAAATATATATATATATGAATGTATATATATATATATATATATATATATATATATATATATATATATATAACCCATAAATAATAAATATAGTATACTTAAAACTATATATATATATATAGAGAGATAGATAGATAGATAGATAGATAGATAGATAGATAGATATAGTCGGAAAGCGAACGTTTTAACACACGTCAGAGAATTTATAATTTCCTTTTGATCGTAGACTCGAGTTTGGTGAATGACATTTTGATACTAATAAAATCTCATTGTTACTCTGGTTAAAAATGTAGTTACTAATCTATATATTAAAAATTAATTTGATGAGTATTATGCTCGAAATATTAATTAAACTAAAAGTCTTAAAACACAATTAAGCATTGCTATTTTAATTGCAATAATTATGCAAGTCTTATGCATATCTAGGAAGTATCTGAGATTATTTGGCTTAATGTGCAAATATTTACGAATACGTCACTTTCGCCATGTCTCTGGCACATGTCATTCTCCACAACATGTATGGCGTATTCGTAATACGTAAATGGCAAAGGGGAAATGGATTTTTATTATTTATGTTGTGTCTTGTCAAAATATTCTTAATGTCACTATCTATAAGTGAAATCAAAGTAGAATAATAACAGTCTTATTATTGATATTATTTCTTTTTGCATTCATGTCACAGTTTGCTCTCCTTCGTGTTGCCACCAGGAGGAGGATATTATTTTGCGTGAAACGTGTTGGAACCAACGCTCAAAGCGTTAGTCTAAAAGCCAAAACAAACAGGTCAATAGATTGGCGTGTCCAAAACGTATTTTCTTCGATTCTGCGTTTAAATGTTAAGTAAATAAGTAAATAACAGCTGTCAATTTGTTTTATACACTTAAAAATGCTTTAGCACATACACTGACGTGCCAAAAGATAATAATACTAATAATACGTAGGGGCCCCCACACAGATTTACTAAGTGTAATTTAGATGCAGAGCAAGGCCGCAAGTAAGGAGCACCCATTGAGGATCAAACTCACTACTCAGTCATAACTGCTTTAGCAAGACAAGCTTGCTAACCATTATAGATCCTCGAAGTAGGTAGTACCTCCATATTTATTCGTTATAAAGATAGCCAGACATGTTGTACATAGATTTTGTGAATCAGTGTAATCACTGGTTCAATTGCTGAAGGAAAGGTAACTGAATTATCGAAGTTCGAAAGGGCCGCCATAATATAAGCAGAGACTGATGGGATATATATTTGACAGCTCACGATCTATGGTAGAATGCTATATTGATCACCGTGAACAGTATCGCCATCCGTGTATATATTTTCTATTACTTATAAATTGCACACACACACACACAGATATATATATATATATATATATATATATATATATATATATATATATATGAAGAAATATAGTTTTAAGATGTACTATATTTAAGGGATAAAGTGCTCAATATCAGAGATAGAGCATATGTAAATATAAAAGAGAACATTGAAGTCAACACTCAGAGGCAACAGGCTGTTTCATGCTAGACGCAAACGTATATATATATATATATATAATCGGTATCACCCCATGCAAGACAGTAAAGCCACTAAGGCACAAGGGGTTACAGGGTGTGGAAGAATTAGAAACAGAAACATTAATAATGAGCGGACAGATAAAAGAGTAATCAGGAGGATACTAGATAGCGATTGACATTGCATTTAATTTTTTCAGATTAAAGTTGGCTGTAAAACAGGAAACTGAGAAGTGCGAGAAAAACTGTTAAAATTTACGGTTACATCTAACCATCTTGTACTGCGCTTAAATTCAAAATGTATTGATACCATAGTGAAGTGCTCATCCGAACAATTACCATGAAAGTATATATATATATTAAGACATTTTTATGTTTATACATTCTTTTTATAGATACAAATATATAAGTAAATGCTATGTTTATAATAAACAGTATTGATAACATTTACCGGCCTGAATGTTATTAATACTGTTTATTATAAACAGAGCATTTACTTATATATTTGTATCTATAAAAAGAATGTATAAACATAAAAATGTCTTTAAATAATTGTCAGACTTTGTCCATTTCATAACATAAATATATATATATATATATATATATATATATATATATATATATATATATACTGCACTCTCCTGTCGAATTTGATGTATGAGGGTCAAGCAGATCAGTTCCTAGGAAACCGACAGCCCGACAACAGCACATGAGATTTGATTATAGTGGTGAAGGTTTCGTGGAGGATCATCCCACACTTTTTGAAGGGCCGAATACAGAATATCTGATGCACTAAGTGCCACAAGGTCCCCAAACGACCCTCCACAGGTTTTGAATTCAGAGTTGTCCTCCTTCTAGACCAGTTGCCATCCAAGGCTATAGAACCCAGTCTGTCCTGCTATTTACCCATAGCTGGAGGGAGAAAAAGAGGATTCACACTTTCCCAAGGATATTAGCACGTAAATGGATGCAATGGATTCGACTGGAATTCGAACTCTGCTCACCGATTCCCTAATCCAAGCCGCTATCCATTACTCCACTTTGGCACTGTCTCTCTCTCTCTCTCTCCCTCTCTCTCTCTCTCTCTCTGTATATATATATATATATATATTTCGTAATCAAAAAATATATATATGATCAATGCAAATACAAAATTTGTCACTTTTCATAGACGAACTTTTTTTCGTAATCGCTCGGTCCACTCGTCAGGTGGAAGTTTCACGCTCCACAAAAAAAAAGGTTGACCGAAAGATAAAGTTTGTAAAGCAAGCAGTTTTTGTACTTGTTTTCTCGCTATAAAAAAATTGATTCTTAATAATAATTAATAAAATTTAATGTTCACTAATCTTTTCTCTGCTCAAAAAAATTAAAGATATATTTAGTTATTTTTATGCGTTTACTTACTTAACTACCCAACTCCTATAATATAAAATATAATCATACAAGCTATGATTTTAATATTACGATAATCTAATTGAAAGATACATTGGGAACATGTTTCAAAAGCCCTCAGTATCAGCCATATAGTGACTGTATAAAATGTGTTATCTGTATTAGTTCAGGCACTGGTACCAGATGCAAGGCAGCGGTTAGCTAACAGATCAAGTACTCCCTTATAGGGATAATCTTTACAAGAATACGAGCTGTTCCACTGTGTGAGGAAGACCGTCGTCATCATGAGTTTCAGTAGCCAGACAGAAACATCCATTGACAATGGCTCTATAGACAGCAGCAAGAAATATGGTTAGTCCTGTCTTCTTGGATTCATATTTGGAGACTGAGATCGAGAAATTAGCTCCAACGGTGCAAATATTTTGAAAGTCTCCAAGCGCCATCGTAAATGTTCCTCTGTTGTGCGTTGTAACTTGTCTCTCTCCTCATTTTTGGTGTCAGTTGAACGCGATTACTTACAAGGATAGGTAATCGCTTTCAACTGACAGCCAAAGTAAAAGCTTTTGTAACCTGTTGCCAATCTATCTGGATCAGGTTTTGTATTCAACACTGCCTAAATCTGGTTACATTACTGAAGTGCTTCACATAGATGAGAATGGTGAAGATGCTGGTGTTGTCTACTGTGAAACGCAAACCCGTCAAAACATTGGCGAGAGCCTCACTTACCTTGCGTCACATGTATTCTGGTCGCTGTGGCTACAAATCGGAAACTGGTGGCATTATTGAGGATATCCGTTCCAGAAACACTTAGCAAAAAATATGGAAAATAAATTATAATAAATAAAATAATTATGACAATAACATTTTCAGCTTCTCTGTTCTCTTTAAAATATACGCATTTCTCTCGTTGGAATAACTTTAATCTCTCCCTATATCTTCACTAGACTATTATTTCGTTTTCTTATTTGGTTTGGTGGTATCTTAAGTATTAATTGTAGGTTTATAATTAAGTTTTTATTCATCATTGTTTGAATTTATATGCCTATGTCTGCATTTATACGCTTGTTCACACGCACACATGCACATCCATGCATATACGTATATAGGTATACACACGTGCACACATATACACATATAAACGCGATTAATAAATATACATTTTTTCTCACCGGTAGCACGATGGGCGCACAACCGCACCAACTGCAGTGACACCTGATGTATGCATTAATTAAATGGAAATCAAAATAAGTAATTAAGATTCATTTAAGCGTATCTAAAACCTCGTTACTTTAATTATGATGGCTTTGTAGATCTTGAATTTTACCACGAAAGTGTCTGGGATTGTCTGGCTGAAAGTAAAGATATTCGCTGGTTTTCCTACATTGATATACGTGATTTGTGAAAATATCAAGACGCATCTATGATGTTTCTGAGTCCAGCGAATATCTACCAAGTATTGAAGGCGATTCCTATAAGTTCAGTCAATATCGATCTACTATTGAAGAAGATTCCTATAAGTTTAGTGAATATCTACCTACCATATCGATCTTTCTTTCTGTCGCTGCATATCTTCTGATTTCAGTCATATTTTTTGTGTATTTGTTTTTTTAATGAAATCTATCATTTTCATTTTTCAGCTGATGAAGTGCCCAATGTCTGCAAGGATCGATTACCAATAGATCGATGTCGGATGATTGTAGCAGCAAAGCTGTGCAAACGAAAGACCTTCCACAAAAACTGCTGTGTGACATGTTCACGAAGCATGACCTTTCGTAGGTAGCAGGTCAAAGAAGCGTCAAGTCACAGAAAGAAGCAAAAAGCAAAAACTTTTTTTAAACCGCGTTTCATTTAAAAATTTGATTTTTTTTTTAAATTTTAATTTTATTTTAATCTTTAATTTTTTTTATTTTGCTGTATGTCTTTGGTGGATAATTCTTTTTAATGAATTTTTTAGTAATCACATGTAACATGCTGTGGCTTTAAACTATAGAAATACATTGAGAGAAGGAAAGCAAAAGCAAAAAGCGGTAGCTTTTAAATTCACGAAACTTATATATATATATATATATATATATATATATATATATATATATATATATATATATATAACGTATATATGTATACACACACACAGTGAGATGCAAAATTATGCGTTCAGTACAATCAATTTCATTTAAAATAATATAATTAATTTTTCAAATATTGATAAATGTTTGAATCTGATCTTGGGCGTCGAATAAATATTCATAATCCATTTCTGAAACTTTGTATTCAATACAATAACATTATGAACATAATTAAGACAAAATAGACAGAAGCAAAAATATTCGTTCACTTCAACTAATGGTCAATGGCATACCCGCCCTGGTCAATAACTTTAAGCGCTTTTCTATAGTTAGTAAGTAACCAAGTACAAATTTCTCTCTGCCTATTGTTCCATTCATTGAAAGCAAAGGTTCTAACAATTTGAAACAAACGGTATGTTTGATTTAAACTAAAAATCTCCAACACAAGATTGCTGACTCAATGTTTTAAAAAGGGATGGCATTCGTAAGGTTTCATATCTTTTTAGATTCTCCACATTCACTCTGCCTGATTCTGACCAAACAATTCCATTTTGGTCTCATCACCCCATCAAAACGAGTTCCAAAAGTCACGATCTTATTTACAAGTCCGCATGTGCAAATTCCAATCAAGCCTTATGATGACCTTTCAGTAAAGGTGTTTTTTTCTTAAACTATAACCACTGAGAAGATTTATTTATTGAGTAACCTGTTTTACACCCAGGATTGAGCAGTCTGTTTTACACCCGGGATTGAGCAGACTATTTTACACCCGGGATTGAGCAGTCTACTTTACACCCGGGATTGAGCAGTCTATTTTACACCCGGGATTGAGTAGCCCTTTTTGCACCCGGGATTGAGCAGTCTGTTTTACACTTAGGTCGAGTATCAACAACACTAACAAAAACATAAGAGAATAATGAATATATTCTTCATGGTAAAATCATTTTGAAAATGTACAATTGACTGATACAGCCTGATAGACTACCTCGTCATAATATCATATAAATACTATATTTCTATGAATTTCGTAAAATAATTCCAATACTTTTTTTGTTTTTATGAACACAATAAAATTGTTTATTGTGCTCTTATGAACACAATATTTTTTTTATTGTGCTCTTATGAACACAATAAATTTATTTATTGTGCTCTTATGAACACAATAAAAATTGACAAGGATAAAATTCTGGTATGATATTGAATAAAACAGAAATGGATTATGAGCATAAGACATCTAAAATTATATTTTAACTTTTATGCACAGAAACAACTGACTCAATATTAAGATCATTTATTAAAATGAAAATGCAGGCGCCTCACTACGTATAAATATACATACATACACACACACTCATATGTATGTATATATATGTGTGTGTGTGCGTTTGTGTGTGTTTGTTAATAAAGATCAATATTTTCTTTGAAAAAAATCAGAGTAAAGTAGTGTCATCATAATTAGTGGTTGATAAAAAAAATGATACAAAAAATAAATATGTCAGACAATAGAAAAACAGAGTAAATTTTTTTAAAAATTCAATAAACGAGGCTTAACGGAAATTTATTGGTTTACAGACGCGACAAAATTCTCGGCGTTTTGGCAAAGGTGGCTTATCATCTCTCAGTTGCGTCTCTGTCTTTGGACAGAGTGCGCTCAGTGGCTTCTCTGTCAAAGGACAGAGGGGCAACTGAGGAAAATTATACTGAAGAGGTGCCCAGCCCTGGGGAACAGCTGCCCGAGGCCGCGCCCTTCCATTGCACAAGAGGGAGGAATCGGTGCTCGCACCGAGGCCAGCGCAACCGACGCTTGCGGGAGCTGAGGGAAATTTTTGCCCCTTACCCGGTTGTACGTGCTCGGGTCCCCACTTTAAAATGAGCTTGTGTCACATCTCGTCCTTGTGGGCGGGGGGGGGGTAGCGCATAAACATCGACGCAACAAAAATAACTGTCTGACAAGTAGTAACAGATTTATAAATAACTTCCATTCAAAATTTAGATACATGGTGTACGGTACTTGAATATCCGTAAAAAAAAAAAGGAAAGAATGTTTCTTTTTGCTTTTGCTTTTCTAAAACAATGATTTTTATTTAACGAATGATTGGGACTATACATCGGCCGCCATGTTTAAGGATTTCCAAATAGGTTTCTAGGTGTTTTAGCAGTTTGGTATGACTAAACAAATAGTTTTAATTAAAATTAGGTTAAATTTGACACGCTTCTAAACCAGATCAAAATTAGCTTCCAGATGAATATTTTGAAGTTTATGTTTATGTAAATACTCTTTCTACAAGCTTGCTTTTCTGTTGGGTCGGGTCGTCCAGGATATTTTAATGCCTTACTTCACCATTTCTGTAAACAAAACAGAAAAACATAAGCAAAAACTGTCATTTAATTATCCTGCGATGACATGATATTTTCGTTCAGTACATTCTCTGAAATTATTAAACAAAAAGCGATCAGTATAAAAGAAGTTAAAGAATAAAAATTAATGTATGCAAGCAAAACAGAAATGAACCACTAAGCAGACACGCTATTGTGCAATAAATATTCACATATATGAAATTCTTTAAGTTATAAAGAATGAAATTAACACAGACAAACATTCTTGTAACTCTAATATAAAGTATTTTCATTATTTCATATATTTTTTCGCACGACTATCTTCTTTTTTGTTTTTAACCCAATATTTCAGCGTTCTTAAACTAAGTGTTTTCCTATGTTTGGATGTTTGTTTTAATTTCTTTTGATGTAATACAGGTTTCAACCGACATAATCTTTGATCATCAGGCGCAGTGAATAAGATATTTTTCAATACTCCACCTATTTCTCGAACTATTGATTCTGTTTGAGTCATTTTTTTTCACCTTTGCATATCATTTGATATATTCGACAGTTTTCTTGCTCACTCCGGCATATATATGTTCATTAGCTCAACCTTAGTTGTTTATGACAAAACATTATATTCTTCGGCTTTCCTCGGCTATGTTTTGTATCTGATTAACTCTAGAAGGCTTTTCTTTTCTACACAAATTAAAAAGAAAAATCTTCTTAATGACGTGCCATTGCTTGGATATTGATCGCTCTAGGTCAGACCTACAATGTGCACCACTGTCCTCGCTCACTAGATTTTCACAAGATTATACGGATTACTGCAATATACCAACTGGCACATACCAAAATTATTTCATAACGATTTTAGTACGTAGTGCCGGCCTGTTTAAACGGTTTCTAACGACCATGGATGACACACATATATTCGAAGAAAGGAAAAGCAAACCACAAATAAAAACAATAGACAGAAAAAATAAATAATGTTTTTGGAAAATGAATATTCCATTGTGTTATTTTGTTAATATTTCATTGTGTATTAGCATCATCAGAAATTATTTGAATAAAAATTACCTTCTCTGCTTGTTTATAGCCGTTCATAGAACCAGAACGTGGAAGTAATTAATTCTTAATAAAATAAACGTTATAATAAGTGTACAAGAATAAATGATCAAAGATGGGGATAGAAAGGAATGTTAATCAGAGTTACTTTCATAATACAGTGACTCAAATTATCTAATAGGCAATGTTAACGAGCGAATTCGTTAAGTTACAAATACTTAGATAATTTTGACATGAATTAATTACAAAATTAGGAAGATTTTAAATATATTTCGATTCGTCTAAATTACTGAACTTGTGCCCATCTAGCGACTACAGAGGCGGATTTGTATTTGTTTAAAAAATGTAAAAAAAAAGTTGTAAAATCTGCCGTCTTTATTTTTTGTAATTATATTTTGGTGTTTGCAGTATTGGCTGTTGAATTAGAATAATCGAGGAAGGATTTAAGTTTTACTTAGCAAATCTTTTTTGTCGGAAAGATTTTGCAACAGACACACAAATCTATGCTTTTAGAATGTATAATAGAATCCGGACAAAGAAAAAGTGGAAAGGATGAGACAAAATGAGAAATTTGTTAACGACGCGTTTCACCGAGAGCGTCTGCTCTCTTTTATCTTTCTTTCATTCTAACCCGAGGAAGCCAAAGAGAGTGAAACCCACCGTAAATAAGTTTTCCACTTTGTTTTATCACATTCACATAGACAAATATAAGTGCACATTTTTTTACTATGAAACCCAGATTCGAATGTCACTATAGTCAATTTGTCAAGGGGGTTGACTTCTTGATATAATTGGTCCCGAGTAGACCATCTCGTTGTATAGCACCGTTGTTACTTAAATATTTGTATCTATAAAAAGAACGTATAAACATAAAAAATGTCTTAAAATAAAATAATTGTCCATTTCATTATATATATATATATATGTATATGTGTGTGTGTGTGTGTTTTCTATATATGTAGTTATGGTCATTTTATGGAAGAGACTTTAGTAATTAGTAACTATTAATCAAAAAATATAAATTTTAATCTAATATTCTGATAATTTTATGCTGAAAATAACGTATGAACACAAAAATTTATTCTCAGTTAAACTTGTAAAGCATAACTTTGTAAACTTATTTTTATTTTATTTTGAACACTTCAAATAAAATTTAACATAAACAACAAATGTTTTTCGATACAATTTTCAATCTCCCACCATACTGAGCATCGTAGAATGAATGACGTTACACATTAAATAACTTTTATTTTGATTAATATATAGTCACAAATGATGAAATAATTATTTGCTTATATTTTTCGCTTACGTTGGCTTTTTGATCCAT